AAAACAATATAATTTACTCAGTAAGGAAAAATACCACTGGCCTTTTTAAAAAATCCAAACTGTTTTTTAAAAGACCTTAACTAGTATGCTAGTAAGACCGACTGGTGGTTATGCACTATCTGTCTCTTTCCATGCTTAAATTAAGAGCCAAAGATTTCATCCTTCCAATCCCTAGGGAGCTGAGTTTGGGGAGGCGAATTATTGAGCAGTATTGTCCTTGCGTTACGACAACAATCATGTATGTAATTCGGCGGTAAATAAATCCTCAAGATCAATAGCTCTGTAAGTGTTCAACATTGAATGCTGACCACATTAGTTTTAATCGACTCACCTAACTGAAGACGCTCGATCATGCACCCGCACCAGATCATGAGTGGGAACGCCGTGTTCAACTTCTCCTGCGATCACTAGCCAGTTTAGATCAGTCACTTCTCGACATATTGAAAATCGATCTAATATATCTTCCAATCTCTTCGCTTCTGCCTTTTGGTTTCAATGTGTGGGCACGATTGAATTATAGGTGTTGCTGGTAAAGTGTTGTCGAACGACAATACCTGTGGCATTCTCAGTAACCCACAAGGACCAGGTTACTAACTAGGTCTAAGATTAGTGATCAAGTGAAGACCAGCTTCCTCGGTCACATACACTGGTGTTATAGCTGATATGTTGTTAGTGAGGCTATTGGAAGAGTTGATAACGGTACCCGGAGAGTAGACATAATTTTCAAGAGGAAATAACAAACCATAATTCCATCAGCACCTTGACTGATAGGGTGCTGGAGTTTATTTTGGTCTCATAATCCAGAATTATAAGTAGTTAGCAATTCTAACAATAACTGCTTTAATCCAATATATGCATCCAGAAGAACCGTGTAATGATGATACCACTGTGATCTTTAAAAACGGACAGCGAACATTTTGCACATCTGTTATCGTAACAAAGGATGATTTAGAACAAAAAACATGTGTGCAGCAGCGTATTTGTGGGCAATAATCAATGTGTTATACCACATTCCACACAGAGTGGAAGGTCAAAATTCATGTTCTTTCGAACAATAATGTTACATTCAATAATGGTAATTGTACAAACTATGTGAATTATTGAATAGCAAAAACTAATTAAAAACGAAATCTATTTTATCTCTCCTACTAACTTAAATGTGTTTGGAGACTTCAGGTAAGTTAATACTGCAATACAGAACAATGAATTGTAGTGTGAAACAAGGTGGAATGAGTTGAAATGATAGAGGGAGTGTCGATGCTAAAATCAGGAAAACCGTTCAATAAAACAGAAATAGGGTCAAAGGGAATTAAATGTTCCAGAAACCCTAGTAGCCACATCTTTCATTGTTGCAATTTATTGTTCTCACCTCTTGTCTTCCAACGCCATTCTGTAGGCCATAATGTGAGAGTTTGAGTGATCAACCCATTGTTTATCTTGCCGGAATAGCGAATCAAACATCTTCAATATCACTGATGTGATATATTATTTTCCTTGCAGCCCAAAACCGTACTGCAGGTCACGCGGTTAAAAGCAAGCTGATGACCTGTTAATATTAAAATAAAACTTACATTATGATTGTTTATTTCCTCATTCTGTGTATGCATTCTTCTATATTGAATGGCGAATGCCTACGTGTCTGGATGAGCAAGCTCGTGTTCCACCTGTTCAGGAGGTTATGCATTAAACTGTGCCATCAACATCTCAGGGTCTTCTTATCCACTAAGTCATCAGAGGAAAATAAGTCTTTAAGTGGCTGTTTCATCTTTGTGTTATTTACCATTGTCTATTGGCGCATGCCGTTTTGGATTACTGGCTTCCACTGCTACTGTGTGAATCGATTGTTTTCATCCCATCTCAATAAAAATGAAATGAATTCCCTGTTCGCTGGGAATGTTCGCTTTTAAAAACAGTGTTCCTTGACTGATAGGAAATTTCGCCATTGGGATAACTGCTTTTTACCGAGCGTTAACTATACCTTTTTGTAAAGGATTGGTTTGTACACACATTTCTTCGAATATTAGTTATTTGATGTGCTTTTATGCCTATGGTCAGGTTATTATAAGAAAACTATTGTCCGTTATCACCCTTTTGGTTTAGCAGAACTCGAAAAGAAATCATTGAAAAAAGCCGACAGCAAAGATAAATTAGAATTTTTAGAATTCTTAACTTTGCAATGGAGTATCTTCAAGATATTTTCAGGACTTCTCAAATCAGTTGTTCTACTAATCGTCTTGAGATAGTTCCGCAAAGATGTATAAATTTCAAAAAAACAATACAAAACGTTTATTACAGTTTATCGCAGTACAATACAGATTAAAACACCACCAATCACTCGACACAAACATGAATGAGAGTACACTGGTATTACGAGGCATGTACTTACCAACAAACCAGTGAGTCGTCCGGCATTTTAAGTGGCTGCCATCTAAGTAAGCAAGAGGAATATATATGTGAACTGTATTACGTAATCATTCATATATAAACAGATAAACGTAGGCACTATAATTCAAAGACAAAAGCAAAATGATATTAGGAAACGACAATTTGCAATGCAGAAAAACGTTTTTGTAGTAAATAAAAGGGTAGTATACAACAAAACAAGGTCACTGAGTATAACTAATGAAGATATCTGAGAATCGACAGCAATGAATATGCCACAGATAGTCGGAGTTTGACAGAAACTTCACACGTAACACCCTTTTTGATGAAGCCAAATCAGAGGTCAGAGACGATGCGGCTCTGAGATATATTTGGCAGGTTGTCGATATGCCGAGGAGCGTTTAATCAAATTTTTCTGCTAGTTGTAAAAGTTGCACAAACAGCGTGACCATTCGAAACCGGTGTAGATGCTTGAATGAGCAACTCCAACTAGAAGTGTCCAGTAAAACAAATAAGGTCCGCACCAATGTCAAAGACTTAGAGGACTATTTATTTCTTGACAACAGAGGCTAAACGTGCCTTTTACAAAATATGTATACGACACTCCCTTGAATACTGCTCTTTAATCTTCTCAAACATGAATACAACAGACAAGAAATTAGTAGAAGACATGAAAAGACTCTTGACACGCTGATTGCTAGGATATTACTCTACTCTCAACCACACAGATCACTCACTAATTTCATGTTTGCCAATCAACTATGGCCGATCGTAAGAAGCCCATAACGTCCCACATTCTTGTGAGTCGCTCAATGTTTTATTTTCTTACTTTGAAAATTTTTCAATTCCTAACCCTTGCACACAACCAAGATGTCAAGTAGAACGACCTGGGTTAAGTTCATGAGAATCATGGAGATTCACTTGAAACGTAAAAAAGCTACAGTAAAGAAATGATGGTAACCTTATAACCTAGAATTAAAAGATCAACGGAATGTATAGCTGCAGTGATAAAAAATAACTTCTCATTCAGAAGTGAAGCATTATTTTACATTACAAAATGTGTACTTGAACGTATTTTCATACATGGTCCCAAAAGATCCTTGAAATGGATCTTGCACGGATACTCGGATGAATAAAGATGGTTGTGAGCAGCGTTAGCAACTCCATCTTCTGAAGGAGAAACATAAGAAAAATTGATATATAAAAATGATCATTGAAATTTCGCTCTGAGTGTTGAAGGGCCTCTATATAGAAGTGTCAAGACATTTCATGATAAGACCCAAGATACTCCAGAATTCACTACACCGATTCTTCTGATAATCGAGGCCATTCAAGCAACCACGGAGATGTAAAGATACAATCTAGTTTTAATGGGAATAAGTGAACACAATTGGAAACACTAAAAGAAATTAACGACTGCAGGAGAGCGATTATTGATAAAAATGAAACAAGAATATGCACACTACAATGTGGTCGTATTTGGTTTGATTTATACCTGCAGGTCCATGAGCAGAGTTACGTGGGTGGGATCAAACAACATTACTAAGAATCAGGTCGATCACATATGCGTCAGTAAAAATTTATGAAGGTTCATGGATGACATTAAGAGAAAGTGAGGAAATGGTGTAGCTTCATACCAACGCATGGTGGTCATCAGGTTAACACGGGAACAGAAAAAATCTCGTGTGATTGGGCAAGCTGCATTGAGGAAGTTCAATGCTGCCTTCCTCCGAAACGCTAACAAGCTCAACTAGTTCAAGATTGATCTCAGGAACATTCCGAAGCCTCAAAGTATCTACCAGAAAAGAGAGAGACCACAAGGAAGAATATTTTGATATGGATTAAAGATGCAAAAACCTTGAAATTGCATGAGGTACTGTTATAGAAGAATCACCAGATGAGAAAATGGATCTCTGAGTACAACCCATGCAAAATTCAAGGAAGGAAACACAGGAACACAAGCAGCCAACAAGAGTCAAACAAGAGCAGGGGAAGCCACATACCAAGCCGAATACACAGAAACAGATGATGAAATCGAGAAAAGCATTAGAACTAACATGGGGATACATTTAGAAAACTTAACAGCTGCATTACGAGAGGTTTCGAGAGAACCAAATATGAAAGAACTACAAGGTATAACTCAGAAACTGTCAGGAAACTTCAGAAAACCAGAATAATAGGTCTAAAAACAAGAGGCGAGCTTTTTTACTGTTTATATTTTATGTATGGTCTATTTTTAAACATACCATGGGTCACAAACGGGATGAGTTGTCTGGTGTGTCAACCTCATGCAGCGTCTGGTTATCCCTCTCTAACGTGACTGTCAGATTACAACTAAGTGCATGAAGTAAATACATCCCCATCACACTTTAGGCCTGGGCTTTTTGATCCAACATAGTACTTTATTTTGATATTTAAGTCCGACATGAACTCTGAACTGTCAGGCATGCCTCTTGATAATCAGATGGTCAGTTCTACAGTCTGAGAGTGAAAAGAAAATTTGTTTACCTATGTTTAGAAAGATAAATCATTGAGAGAGTTATTACTTGATTAAACGATCACCAGAGAAAGAAATGTCTAGCTTGGGTGTCTTTGGTCTCGTGGCTTACTCACCAATAAGATAACGGTAGTTTGACCTTCAAGTGCAAACGCACCTTGATTGGCCTTGGATTCCAATGGATCTAAGTCTCGAGAGGGATTGTATGAAAGGTTACCTTTATAAGTGGACAAATTACCTAAAGGGATATCAAAAAAGATGGTTCGTATTACAAAATGGCTTGTTGTCGTATTACAGGTATCATTTTGTCCTGATTTTCATTTTTTCTAGGAATCCAGCAGAGATGGCTCATACTTGTCGTGGAACTATCAAACTTGCGGATGCTACTGTCAAAAAAATAGGAACGGTTTATTTCGAAATCTCAAATAGCAGTGCACAAAAATTTCATATAAAGGCCAACTCTGAGAGTGAGCAATTAGCATGGTTGTCAGCACTCTCTAATTCTAAAACAGCAGCAGTGGCTTTACGGAAGCAAGGTAAGAAACGTTGTTGAATCAGAATTTCATTCCAAAATTTGGAATTTGACCAACCCTAGATTATCACCCACTTGGGACAAAACTCGACATTTTTGTTTTATTTCGATGCATCATAGTGTTAGTACAAGGGCTTGGAACTAAGAGCTAAGGTTTGCGTTTATTGAAACTACACCTATTTAGGCGTACATATGTTCGTGTGTGGGCTACCTTTACCATAATTTTGGGTTCTTATTTTGGCCTAAACTTTCTAGTCATCGTCGCGTCATCACTTAATCTATATCTATAACTTCAGTTATGTATTTATTTGGTAATAAAGATGCAACTAACCATTCATTGTCTTTCCTGTGCACTTTGTATAAATCAAAGGTATGGAAGTGATGTATATCAGGCGGGTAAGCCCTCGTTTGCTCTCACTTCACTGTCTGAGTAAAAAAACGATATAGTCATCAAGTGAAGCTATATTTAACTGAGTTCAGCCCTGTTTATTGTTTTTAGTTCATACAGAATTCAAGACCACCCTGGCAGAAGTATGTGTAGTTCTAACCTGACAATACCAAGTTACCTCTCGGTGGTTATGTAAAATACATCCAGAACGACGTAGAAGTAAACTTAAAACTTAATCCAAATTACTGAAATGTATTTTACACTGATCTACTAGGTCTTCTGTATGAGAAGGAAAATCACTGTTAATAAGTCAGTCCAATCATCCTATTTTAGGAGCTATGCAACGTCTACATGTTTGTCGCTTATAGCTTTCGTGACCATATTCCTCTTGCGAAGAGCGATATATATATATATCATTTATTCTTTTATTTATATCATCACAAAAATCGTGTTGAATGCATACTAGCATGTGTTCCACCCAAGTCTGTTCCCCGAAATCAGCGAGTGCTTACGGTTTGTGTATTTCTTTACTGCTTGCCGTTGTCACAACTAAACTTCATCAGTATGTGTTATTGCCATATTTTCTTTTAGATCATGGCTTTTTCTGAGTTAGTCTCCGGGTTTTATATATCCTTATTTTGACCTATCTTCAAGGTATATGGCTTGTATATTAGTGGACACCATGCACTAGTGATAGGATTTCTCTTTAGTAGTATGTGTGTAGTTTTCCAACCTTAATGACTTATTGGTGAATGGGGACACCAAATATAAATGCTCCACGAAATAATAATTAAGCCAGTAGTACTCACCACTAATTTATGTGAGGGCTGTGATACTGTCCGGGTGCCCAAGTCGAGGCAGTTGGTTTTCCTAAGGAGCCACTCTCCGAGATTTTGATCTGGAGGTTTAATCTACAAGGCGGTGGAGCAACGTTAAAAGATGCTGTCCCGGGGTAGTCAGTGAACAACATTAGGTTCGTACGCCGTGTCCCCTCAGGATCCTGAAGCCCATATGCACCATTGGTCTAGAATCAGGGTTTTCTGACTCTCTCAGGTGGACCTTTCGTTCCCACCAACTCGGTTGAAGAGCTGGACATTCACTTTTCGTCCTCTCGATTTCGTGAACAACACCCTCACTACGAGAAGACAGTGAGTAGGACTTCCCTGAGAGTGGCTGTATACGCTTAGCCATGTGAGAGCAGACTCTCCCCACCCTCAACCATACCATGGCATTTGCAGTCTAATCACTTGTATAGTTTGTGTGGTCTTTCTATGTGTATAAATAATCATTGTAAGATGAATAATCTTGTGGGCACAATTGTTATGTTGTCAGTCCAAGTAAGTCTTCTGGTCATTTTAATTTTGTTATCTTCTCTCTTTGCTTTGCAGATTTATGTTAGTAATTACATGCATGATTTCAGAAATCTGTCACTGTATTACAGATAATGCCTAAAACAAACTTTTTTGCAGCAAAATATTTCTACTCATCTATCCCAATCTAGAGCTGCAAAAAGTAGTCGTAAATACACAGTTTAGATCACATTAGATCACATCACTTAACAAGAGTGTAATATAATTGTTAAACATTCTGACTACTTGTAAAAAATTCACTATTAACTAACTGAATTCTGTTTCAACATGATGTTTTGCCGTTACATAACCGGTTTGTGCCGGTATTCAGAATTTCTGTGTTTAACCGATTAACCATGCAAATTTGTGACCTTTTGCCTGAAATTTTTAACGTCAAAATTTATTAGGCTTCCCATCTCCGATTCAATCATTGTCGTCTGTTGTCATCCGTTTTTGTCAAGCTTATATTTCACGTTAGCTAAATAACTGTAATTATTTACCCTTTTTGCCTAATAATAAGGTGTAGGGTCTCAGCGATTTTATCTCGCTGACACGAACCTAAAACTTGCTTATTTCATTTCGACGCAACGTAAATTCAGATGACATCATCGTAGTGTATGATGCTATTAAAAACCTTCGAAACATTTTAATCCCTATCTTCAGTTTTTCCGTTAGAAAATAATTACTGGCATCATCACTGATCTCGATTTGCAGTCAATGCAAGTTAGCATCAAGTTGTCGATTCTTTATTCTTGGGTAAGCTGGTACTTTTATATTGTGACCACCCACTAAAACCATACGTGGAAAATGTGCATGATGGTCCTCAGGCGCCAGACAAATGGATAGGGGACATTTTAGCTTGATGTGGTGAATGAGAAAAGTTCCTTACTGATAACCAGAAATTCTGCTTCTCTACATATGGATATAGGAGTTATAAAAGGCTAACTGCAAAGAGGCTTCAGTCTACTTTTTCTTATAAGTTTCTAGCATTGCATTTAACTTTTCAAATACGGGAAGTGGTCAGTACTGAAATCTATTGATCATAAAATGGTATATGTGTGACAGTGTCAGTATGTGACAAACATCAAGCAAGAAATATTTGTTCAGTGTTTGACGCCGGAAAATGTTTCCTTATCTTAACCTACTGTATATGTAATCAGTGTCCTAGAGACATTTTCACTTAAGTTCTCAGGATTTGGACTACCCAAAGGTCTTCTTTTTGACTTAGAGAACACAGAAGACACATTCTTATTTGAAGATGCTGACAAAATACAGTCATATGACCACCTTAGTTAACAATCCTTTTATCTCTAAATGCAGAATATTGCTTCGGGATTGGTCTTTACCAATAACAAAATAATGGTGGGGCGTAAAGTAGTTGGGCGCGTCCTTCCTCTAGAATGTGAACTATTACTTTATAAATACAATTTATGGTTTTGGGAACCATATTCCCAATCTTCAGTTTTTCTTATCATGATTTCTTCTAAATTGTTTCGACCTCTGTTGGATTTTATCGTGTTGTTTTCACTACACCGTGATAATGTAGATTGGCTACTTGGGCAAGAGCATATGTGTTCTACCATCGAAGTCGATGGTCAACTTTTACTGGAACCATTGTTAACTATATAAGTTCATGGAGTGACATATTTAGCTTCCTATAATCGATCCTCAAGGGATATTTTATGACTTTAAGTTGGACAAATTTAGCTATCCAAGACTCTGATATCCTGTTTCATAGATTTAAGGCCGCCTCTTTAAAACCCCCATTTAAAACTTTTATTTATATTTTTCCAACCTGTCTATATCAGTTTGAAGTTCCAACTTCGCTTTTTTTGACATGCATAGGCTTAATGACAAGCTATTTTGATATTGCAGGCATAAGTGTATCAGAAAACAGATAAAGGAATTTATACCCTGGATTGTGGTAGATGGTCGTCTGCATTTTCCAATTAAATTAGGTCATACATATTTGAATAGATCGGGTTGCACGGCATATATACTTGCAGTCTGTCTGCCCTCTTACTGACAACATTTCTGGCTAAATGAAATATCAGTTCTGCTGAAAGTTGTCTAACTTCATTAAATATGAGGACCCAAATGTACGTAGAATGGACAATTTAGGTGACCAAATATTTAGGTGAAGTTAAATTGATAGCGACTTAAGTGGTGTTTATGAAATTCCAGCTCACCAAAGTGGTAATCATGAACATTCGCTGCATCTGTAGTTTCACATCTCACTTATAGTATTGAAAGAAACACTGCGTAGTATGTTGGCTTGCAACATCGACCCAACAGTTGACATTGGTAGACCATATCGTCGTTAACGTGGGTCGATTAAAGGCTGTTGCTTCTTTTGGAGAACATTTTCAGACCTTGATGAGAGTATTTTTGAGCCTAACTGCAAGTAGGACGAGTGCAACTAGGAAACCTCTTCAAATTCCTCTCGAAAGCAGGAATATTGGCAACATAATAATGAAAGGAATAGCTAGGCACTTGACAAATCGTAAACATATTAATTTCGAAATAGCCTAGTATGATCCCACATTTACAATAAAAATAACAGGCTTGTCTGTCAATAAACTTTACTAAAAACAGTAGATAGTTATCTTAATTGTTTGAGTAAACAGCTTAAAAGTTCAGCAGTTATTATGTCTTCAAAGAAAGATCAAATATGGTTTATAGCTACATAGTCTTGTAAAAATCCGAATTTAGTAATTACAGTGTTTAACGTCTTAACAGCTTGCTAATCAAACAAAGTCAGTATTTTGGAATAGGAGCAAAAAATCACGCGATTGAGAATTTCGTGAGGAGCATCATTTTTAGGTTTCTAAGCGTACACGAAACTAGCAAAAATTCCAGGAAAATAATGTATGACCAGCCTTAAGTATAAGTTTCGACTCTAAAGCATTGAATTACAGTTATGGTATAATATTTCCAAATCCACTTTACCATAAATTTATCAGTTAGTTGATTTGTTTTAGACATTAAGCTAAGTACTGCAGCTTCAGGATAGCACACTACCTATGCTTGTTATTCACACTGATAAGAACGTTTCATACAGCATATAAATACATTCATTATTTTTGCTATTCAAATTTTGTGTCATCACTGGAAGCAGTTGTCTCACATTATGTTGGTGAATTTTTGATTATTGTGGCTTGTGTATCTGTGATCATCCATAGTATAATTTATGGATTATTTAATATTTAGGTGATGTTACTTCTGACTTTTCAGTGAGCTTGTACACTGTCTGTGCCATGAAAGCATTGATGCAGAAACGTGTATCACCAACTAAGCAGTTACCAAGTTGTCAACGGATTTTAATTTTCTTGTCTATCGTTTTTATTTGTATATAAATTAATGCTTATAATCTTTATATTACTGAGTAAAACGCATAACTTTCTACACGATGTTAGTCACTACTGGACCTAACTCATGCGTAAGCCATGCCTTAAGATTTCTACAAAGTACAAGAACAATTTTGTTCAATAGAGATATTAACGTGAAAGTAGTCAGATAGACTACAAAGTTGTTACCTTAACGAAATGTAAATATAAATAACTACATGGGTACTTTTAAGTTGTTCTATAGCAACCTTTCCGAAAATTCGTATTCCAATTCAATTCTAATTAATTATTTTGTTCTCTCACGTAGGTGTTTTGTATGGATTAGATCAGTTTCTAGAAGTTTAAATGTTTTTTTGGTAGATAGTAATCATCAGAGTACGTGATTTTCACTTCAATAACTTGCTAATTGTGAGTACGCTTAGTATCCGTACTCCATAGCTCATATATATTTGCCATTAGTGTGAACTTTGCTTCTTAGTAATTGTTTGTGGTGAGTTTTTTCCATAAATAATTGTAATGGTCATACGATCATTGCTTAAAGCGTTCATTTGTTGCTGTAAGTTGATATTTTACCTGTAAACTCGCTGGTTGAACAAAGATTATACAACTTATTTTGAAATCTCTTGCTTCACTACTGTGGTCAATAATTCATTCAGTCAGCAAAACCTCGTTATTCGATAGCATATATTTTGTGTCCATATGGTACGTGTTGAAATTACCCATTAATTATTTACTTTCAGGTTATGATTCAGATGCGTATGCTGATGGATATGAAGATGATGATGATTATAAGACATCGTCTACGACTGATGAGAATGGAATTAGGTTTATTAACGATGCGCTTGTGAAACTTGAAGCCCATGTGACTGATCTCGAACGTTATCAGTTGACGATGAATCGAAAAGGTGAAGAACTTCGGCGTTCTGTCGGTGATGTAGAATCTGCTCGTGATCCCACTGAACTATTGCAACGTTTTAACTTGGCTCGTGAACATGCCACAGTTTTCAAGGTTGCCAGTATGGCAATGGTTAATGTAAGTCACTTACATGCTTTAATACCAGTACTGTTCATTATTAGACACGACCCTTCATTATTTGTGTGGATAACCGTGAATGTAAACTGGTTTGTGGTGTTGTTTACCTAATATCTCCCACTGACTCGGCCCCAACTGTTGTGAAACTTTCCGTGTGAATTCAGATGGAAATTCTTGTAAAATTATCTTTGTACGTTATGACTTCCTATGCAACAGCATTCTGTTGAGAAATTTTTCCAGAATCAAATTTACATGTGGTGACTGCTAGATTAAAATTTTGTTATACAACGTATCAAGCTGATCAGATTAATCTATTAAAGCAATGATGTTTCCTAAAACTCATAAACTGTATTTGGACTTGTGTGGTATATCTTAACCTGCTCACGGGACTAATTATAAAACACCCTATATTTTTGCACATATCATAGTCTTTATGACACATTACTAGTGGTCTCCGGTCGTCGTGACCACTTATCATTGCTTATGTTCCAACGTGAGGTAAAATCAGATTTTGACATGTTAGTGACCATATTTTTGTTAAAAGTCTATAAAAATTCATAATTTATATTCATGTGTCTTGCTCATCAGTATTATGTAGACATGTCAGCACGTTCGTTTATTCCGTTGTCCAGAATTTCTGATGTAGTAATTATTTTTCTGCATGTATAGTGTTTTCATAAATTATGTCACCCTCAAGATTCTAGCTTTTTCAATTTCCATGATACTAAGTTCTTTTGAATTTTTCGGAACTCTATCTAGTCTGCTTTATTCGCATATTTATTATGGTTTTGGTCAATTAATGTTCCAAAAGTGTTAGAAAGTTTTGCTATGTAAAACTAAGTGTGGTCTGATGCATAATATTAGCTTTCAGCTCTGTAAATTCGTCAGTCCTTAGGTGCATATGGTATTGTTTGTAGTTTGCTTTTGCATGCATCGTTTTTTTATCTACTCTAAGTTGCAATTTCACTTGATGTTGTTTGTTTGAATCTTCCCATTGATGTTTAGGACTACAATTGATCAGTCTCTTATTGGCATATGTGCATATTGTGCTTATTGCCTCAATGTAGCCCTTATTCACAAGCATCAATAGCAAAGATGGATAGTGGCTAGCAGTGAAATCTAGGACGCTCGTTTCATCCTATTTGGGGCTCGTCAGTTGGATGTACATGCATCTCAGAGTTGATGTTCACTTCAAACGCCATCGTGTTATCCACATATCTACTGAGTCCTGATAGCCACTTGCTTGTGCAATGGGGTGAAGTTTAAATTCACTTGGTATTGTTTGTTTATAGTGCTTGTGAATTAAGGCTGTTTCGAGGTAATATGCACAATATGCACATATGCCAATAAGAGACTGATCAATTGTAGTCCTAAACATCAGTGGGAAGATTCAAACAAACAATACCAAGTTTGAAGCGAACAGTACTGGGTTCAAGTCCCAGAGTGAACATCAAATCTGAGATGCAAGTACATCCAGCTGACGAATCCCAAATCGGATGAAACGCACTTCCTGGATTCCACTGCTAGTCACTATCCATCTTTACTCTAAGTTGCATCTAATTTCTTTGAATATCCACGGAAATTCAGTAAATAAGGTTTGACAGTCAAAATAAATTAGAATTTTTCGAAACACCTATTCTAATATTATTTTCTTTTGTTTGTCCGTTCTATATCACATGTGTATCATCGTGGTTGTTTTTATGGAGTACTTTAAACGTTCTCTTATATTACAGTATGTATACAAAAACAGTGATTTTCGGCATGATCCTGTCTCTAGGCTTGTTATAGGAATAAAACTAGAGTTCGTGGTTTTCTGGGTCAAGGCCATTTAAACATACTGGTGTATGTGAATAGTGTAATGATTGTCACAAACTATTGTTATACCACATATGTCTATGTAGAATTTTACTGTTGAACTAAGTAAAATATAATCTATTCAATCCAGAAATACCCTGATTGATGCTTAGAATTTCGGTCTTTCACACAATGTAGGCATGGCATCGTCGAAGATTGACAGTTTATGTACAACTTGATAAATAAATATCTGTATATTATCTTATTTTTTAATGCTCTGTTAAGATATGAATTTCATTCTATGTAACCGCGAAATTCGTTACGTTTGCATATTATTGATTAGATCATAAAATAAGTTGGTATTAGAACTTACTTTCCCGTACGCAACGGCAATAAATGTTCATGCCACCTTGGCCAATTAAGTCTGATGATTTCACTGATCGAATTATCACTCTAACTTTGAACCATACACCTACTTCCCATTTATTACCATCACATTTGTTCTCCACTTTTCAGGTAGTAAAATTACTAATTCACTTTAGAATAACTGTATTAAGCATTTTCTTCAATCTTTCATGCTAGTATTGATAGAAATAAAGTAGCTTTTTTCACATATTAATTACTGGAAGCCAAAGTATCGTGTATTCTTGTGACTTCATGTTAATTTTTTTTAGGAATGCTAAATCCCCAGAACTCACTTAGTCTTATTTTTACAACTTTAAGTTGGAAATTTGAATTTCTTGTTTTCGCGTCAAAAGCTCCCATTTCCACCTTCATGCCGTATTTCCCACTTGTGACGTTTCCCTAGGACATTTTTGTGCTGCATATATACGCTCGAATTGTGCTTGTGGTTTTTGTTTGTGTTTCTGGTTGCTTATGAAGTACATCTCCCTCTTCTAAACCTGGACTTCTCTCTTTAGTTAGAGAGGTTGGGACACATCGGAATAGTTAGCTTATTTGGTCATTAAGTCACTGAGTCTTCGTTCCGTTCGCCGATTAGATGAACTCATAATCTCTTCAAACATATCATTATTTTTGAAGCATTTCATTGTTATAGGGTAATTATAATAATAATTGTAAATTGTTATCGTTTTCAGCGATTTAGTTGGTTTTACATAGAACTTATTATGCAACATATTATATCGTTAACACTATAGGAAGAGATTAGTATTAAAACTGTAAGCAATTGTTTTAGAATATGACAACAGATTAATCTTATCTAGTGAGTTTCATTGTTCCAAAAATGTAATATTACACCTGCCAAGTAAGTTAAAGTGCATTAAGTGAGGAACAGACATATTACTTGATTGTTTTCAGGTGAATGGAGTGTGTTTGTATGCTGTTACATTGATGTGAACCGATAAATTTCTCGATACGTACTACATTTTACTCAGATTAAAAGGAGTCATATAGAAGTTAAAACAACAACCAACAAATATTCAGTCAATGCTAATCAAAGTCGTTATCACTGCGGTGACACAGTGGTTAACGTACTCCGTTTTCTACCTTTCGGTTACTTTCGTTTGATCACCTGTGTAGTATCACCAGCATTCATCTATACTAAGTTATGTTAAATTTAGGTATTATAAGTTTTCAACCTTTGTATGTAATCAAGTCTAGACGAGATCAAACACAATAGTTTTGGGAATTAATATCATTTCCGTAATTCAGACAGATAGATTTTTCACTGTATTAGATCGTATTTAATCTAATCATCTTTGAGTGCAGCGATGGTCTCTGGAATACTAATCTTGTCATAAACCTTGGTTGCTAACTCGGATTTTGATGAACAATTTAAATTGGGGGCTTTGTGAACAAAGCTACATCCAATTTGTATCTGTAGTTAGATTTCTTTGTTTGATGTAAATGATTAGTTTAATTTATGCTTCGTTAAATAACTGTTGTTATACAAACATGGACATAAACTAACTACATGATAAGATTTCTAGTGCAAATTGGCAATTTTGTTTGTTGTGTGGTTCCAACTGCTTTTGTATATTCATTTCAAAGTTCGTGACCGACGATTATTACATAGACTATTCGTTCACAACATTCACTTGCTATTAATTGGTATTTTATTAGTGCAGAGAATATTGCAACATTCATTTGTTTTCAGTAAATTAAACCTGTTTGCGTTCAAAGTATGCTATAGGATTGTATGGTCTTGTCCATGTTTGTGGTTAGCTGTATGGTATGATTCCCCAGAATCATGGTCACTGACTCTCAAGTTGATTCGGACGTTATATTTGTTGATAACTGTATAACTGATCTAAGGGTAAACCTGCGACAAACCTAATAAAAAATTTATCTAATTTTATGTCTTATTTTATTTGATACATCAGAAATTCTCTTACTGTAAGCGGTTTTCCACTACTTTGAAATAGTTTTCATAAGATGAAAAGTGAACATTTTGCATATTATTTACTCAGTAAATTTCTTGTTGTGATATAATCAGACGTTATTATATTTCTTTTGATAAGTCCAGAGGGGTCCTGAAAACACTGGCAATCATTTTATCCAATCAGCGTTTAATAGAAGTTTCTCAGAAACATCTAGAAAGTGAATAGTCACGTATTACATTTCTGATTGGATAATTATCTACCCTGATGTTGTATTTAGTATGGTCCCATAAACTTCCAAAAGCCCTATACCATCTCAAATACTATAAATACCCTAAATTTTCTGTACATAAACTAACCTTGGAGTAAAATGTTATTTTCACGCTTCGCTTCTTTTCTCTCGTTTTTAAGTTGTTGTATAGATTCAGTCCGAGGTTATTAAAAGAGCTTGAGTTAGAAGACTTATCACTTTTTTTCTGACATAAAACTATTAAAGATAAAGATAATGAAGTTAAGATTTCTATTTGGTTTGTCACATTGCATTTTTCGCTGAGCTCATGATCTTATTAGTACTGTCAGTTAACGTCTCACGAAAGACGTATGTGTGAAATAAAGTATGGAGCTGGAGTTTGGTGGTTTCACTTTCAGCCACTAATATCAAAGTGAGTTTGTTTTTTTCTTGATTTAAGTGAGGTATATTTTTTCCATTTCCTTTTTCGTTCATACAGTCTTGTTCTGAATTTACGCATTTTACTCGTGGACAGTTTGTACGATGGCAGCGTATATTCAATAATCAAAATGAACGTTGTGCTTTACTTGAACAAATGATTGAACAATTAGCTAAACAGTTACGTCAGTTAGAATGTTTAACAAGACAAAATAATCCACAATCAACCGTAACACTTGGATCAGGTGGTTAGTTTACATTAATTGTATTATTAGATATTTATTAGAAATGACATTTTTTTCATGTTATTTGATTTATTGTCAGTGTTGTTTTAATTTCATGTTAACCTGACTGTTGTAAAAGTCTTTGCCGAAATATAACTTAAAACATTTACTTAATTAATCGGCTAGTTATCTCTCGTGGAGCACAGGCTTCAGCCAACTATATCCTGGGTTGTCCTTTCCAGTTGCTGTTATACGTATAAATTGTATCGAGTTTAGGCTTATAGCTTTTTCTTCAGCTTTAATATAACCATAAATATGTGTGTTTAAAAGGAGCTCCCATCCATCTTATTTTACTTGTATTGATGGATTCCCTTTTCTACACTTAATATTTTGTACTACTTCTTCTACTAATATGAGATTTGTCTTGATAATTCGTATCTCGCTATGCTAATGCTTTTTGGTAAGTTAAGCAGATGCATGTGTCAGGTTCTATGCTGCATATAATATCACATGATTTTCTCTTTTTCCCTGTGTTGGTAATATAAGCGATAAAGTGGTGTGTACGTCTTCATGTTAAGAAATACTTTTTATGTAACTCGTTTTTTATAACTTTTCTAGGAGACTGTATGTAATCCGATTTATTACATCATCTTAACATTTATAATGTAGAAAATATTTCGGTAGTCTGGGTTTTCTAAAATATATTATTTCTCTTCACATATTCCGGTCTTCTGGCTTATCTGAAGGTATATTCTATGCTGCTCACTGATAGATTTTTATATGCGTCATATATGTGCCTGGCCCTACGTTGCAGCTGACTGACAGACTTTCTTCCGATCAAAATGACTCTTCATTCAACTAAATTATTCTCTTTCAATATACCGCTAGGTGCATTGGCTAGTGATTGTGCATTTATTGTTGCTGTCAGACTCAGAAACAAGAAATCTGTATCATCCTCGTAAAGGTTTTGTTTTACTTGATCTCATCGATTTCTAAACCTATATTGATATGCATATGGAATTCAATATCAAATTTCTTGAATACTATTTTTCCTTATCACTCTTGATTTTGTCCAATCTTATTGTCACTAATTATAAGTAATGAATTGCCCCTTCTAACAACCATAACAACAATTCAATAGGTACATGGAACGTCCGGACAATGTGGGAGACCGGGAAGACCAGTCAAATAACAATGGAAATGAGGAGGTGCAAATTGACAGTACTTGAAATCAGCGAAACCCATTAGACCCAAGCTGGACAGCAAAGGCTAGATACGGGAGAGATGCTGCTGTACTCTGGTCACGAAGAGGAAAATGCTCCACACGCTTAGGAAGTTGTTCTGATGCTGTCCAGAAAAGCGCGAAACTCAGTTGTAGGGTGGGAATCTCATGGATCCAGGATAATGAAAGCATCATTCAAAACAAAAAGTAGGGGATCACAATGAATGTTATGCACCCACCAATGATAACAACGACGACGATGAAGATCAATTTTACGACAGGTGGCAATCAGCCATAGTGGAGTGATAAGGACAAGACCTGACCATTCTGATAGGTGATCTAAACGCCAAAGTCGGAACGGACAACACCCAGTATGAGGATGTAATGGGACGATATGGACTGAGAGAGAAATGACATTGAAATACAAACCTATACATGAAGCTATATGGATCTCGCCGGACCGCAATACAGAGAACCAGATAGATCATATTTGTCCCAACAAAAAATTCTGAAGGACAATGGAAGATTTGAGAACCAGGAGAGGAGCTGACATAGCTTCAGATCACCACTAGCTGGTGGTTGTCAGGATGAAATTGAATCTAAAGAAACAATGGATAACTGGGGAAACAGCATTACAAAGGTTCACTACATCCTTCCTTCTAGATACCGACAAACTCAACGAATTCACGATAACTCCCAACAACAGGTTCCAAGCTCTACAGGATCAACTGAAAGAACAAAAAACTACGATGGAGTACAATTGGAAAGGTATCAAAGAAGCCCCAACATACACAATTGAAAAAGCAAGATTCTCAAATACAAACGGAGAACGTCAAGCCAATCACACTTAGTGGAGAAACTCTGAAAGATGGAGAAATATTCACGTACCTGTGAGGCATCATTGATGAACATGGAGGATCTGATACAGACGTAAAGGCGAGAACTTGCAAAACAGGTGCCGCATTTATAACTCTTGATATCTGACCCTAAACTCTTTGCATTATCTCTGATTTCAGTTGTTGTCGAATCTAATAACCCTAACTCATAACACTAACCCAATTCCCAATATGCAAAACAGCCTTTTTCTTCTACCGTAATAATTCGATACGTCAGGATCGATTATTCTCATCAGAACTATTATAGTACTGTTTCATTGTTTTGTAACTAGGTAGCGTTTCCTGGTTACCTGGAAACCTTTTAACTTTGTAAGTCAGTCACTATAATATATATTGAGTATGACCCACTGAAACGTCAAATTTACATAGCCAGAACGATTTTCAGGTCGATGTACTAGTATAGCATTTTAATATATAAGTATAATTAGTCGCACAAAAGCATTAAAAATTTGGAGACATACCGTCGATCCTAACCACGAGGTCAGGTCACTGTAGCAAAATCACACGTCAACAGTACGTATAACATAGATGGTTAGCTGTATATCGAATATCTGCTTCAACTCATAATATTATCTCTAGTTAGTTTTTCTTCTTGGTTATCAGTCGACTGTTTAATTCTACTCAATCTCAACTAAAAGTGTGTTAGACCTTAAGTAAACCTACTTACGTATTCTTACGTGATCTGCATCACATTTGGTTGTTTCTCTGTTAATTATATTTGGATTGACCTTTTTATTTATACTTGGTTAGATCATTTTATGTTTCTGCTTGTTCGAAATATCCGATAAGGAGTGCATTATGGCCATCAGTCTTCGCTTATCGATAGTTTATCTATATTTACTATGTACATAGATTATTATTCTGTATTCTTCGAATTTACCCTATATGAATGTTTAAATTCCAGCTAGAACTGTTCTTTTTTAGAAAGTCAACTATCATTCCTGGTTTCTTCCTTAGTTTAATAGATATACTTCGTAACATAGTGGTGTGTAGTAACAAGTATATCTGAAAATTCAAGTTAAAAGTTTTCTCATAATTGTGGATACACAGTCTTGTGCGAATGAATATGTAAAACATAAATTCCGTTTCCAATATTAATAACAGATTCAATGAAATCGAAGCAACAATATTCTTAAATTTATAACGAATCTGTATCATTCATTGAGTGTTTGTCAGTTAGATATTTCAATTCTCCAGTTTGTGCGATTCAGTAAACTTTAAGTTTTAAGATTTTGTTGTATGTTCTTCATCGGAAACTTGAAAATATATACATTTACAGACGGCAGTTTTTTGGTGTAGATTTCATTTATTTCCGTCTTTCATAAGATAGTCGATGATATATTTGGTGTATATGTATTTCAAAGCATTAAATTTTTGGTCTACTCTTTTATCATCTTGTTTCTTACAGTCCAACTCCTCTTTTCCTGTTCTTTCAAATTAGGCGGAACTGTCAGCTCGTCTCTTAACATCAAGTCTGTTAGCCGACCTCTTGGCCAAGCAGTCCGTGTACAGCACTTACCACATACTGAGGCGCGTCCTCAGGAAGAAAACGTCACCTCTTCATTGGATATTGCTCATGATACTATAACATCTGATGTTAGTAAGGAAAATTCAAATATTTGTGCTGACAAGTCTTTGAAAGCCTCAGAAAAGCATATCAGCTCATTAGAATCTTCCGCTCATCATTTTCCTTACTCTAGGGAATTTATACAACAACATTCCTCTCAGCATAATGAAGACACTTCTGATGACGACTTTTATGATGCAGAGGAGGCTAATTCTGAATTTTCAATAACTCTGCCTGATCTTTCGCCGAATGAATCGAAAAATAATGGGAACATAACCTCTAGAAAAACGTGCGGAAATTTGGCTAGCAACAAATCGAATGATAATCAAACGGGCTTAAGCAATTCTCAAGATGAAGACTCTGTAATACCTGCTGGTTCTGATATTGCTGACGAATATGAATCTGATGTGGGTTTCACTGACGATGAAGCAGATGAATATGCTGATCAGAATTCACAATCGAATCAATTTGGAAAGCTACGTGAAGCACGTGTTATACAGCCTCGTAGTAGGCGATGTGGCAGGTAACATGAAAATCTATTCTTTCATTGATTATACGACAGTTGTTTTAGATTAGAGAGTGTCCGAAAACTAGGCATGTCCATTGTATAGCCTTCATATGATCTTATTAATTCTTTGTTATTTTGACAGAATATTTTCTTCTCTGTAGATTTATTCATGTATTTACTGAGGTGTTACAAATTTGTCTTATTGCAACCCAGCTATTCCTCTTGCTTAGTGATCTTGGACACCAATTCACTTGACAAGTCCCCAAATAAGAACACGGTTGAACAGGAAAGAAATTATATTTCAAATAACAAGTGCAGATGTAAGTAAGATCCACAATAAGACAAACGTTAGCATATTTATAGTTTTTACATGAGAAGATTCTAGAGTGTTCTCCAAGTATCGACTAGCGTTAATTGAATAAGAAGTAGTCAATCAGCGTGCACCAATACAATTGTTCACGGAATATGCTTTAATCCAGTGTATGTCCCGCTAACATGAGCTCAAGTCTATTTTTTAAAATTCCTGATAAGCTATAATAGTGTGGTGTATACTCTAGTTTTATACATGCCCTGGAGATAAACGTGAAATATAATTGATATATTTTCTGATCGAGAAATATAAATAAATTATATTCTCTTCTACGAAAGAATTTAATGAATTAGTATAGCCAATTACTTCTAAATATTATCTTAGTCTTTCCTGCTAAATCCTATTTAAAGTTCATGTTTGTACTATATTGCTTTCATGCCTTAAACTGTTCAGCAGTACATGAATTTGTCACTGTTCTTAATTTATTTTGCTTTAAAACAATTTTTGAAGACAGAAATCCTGAAAGACCAATTTTGTCATAATCAAATGAGAGAAGACAGATCAAAATTCCTTGGAAACCGCTGTAATCTTTAAATTTATTCTACTGTGATATTGTGTTTATCTGCTAAAATTTTAGTAGTAGGGATAGTATGTATAATAATACTTATTAGATCTGTTTGCTCTGGGCTATGAATTTAAAATATTAAAGATTCCCATTGTGAAAATTAGAACAACACATGTAAGCGAAAAATTGTTTTCAATTAGATCGTCATCAGGCTTTACTCTAATATGCATGAATATATATACGAAAATGTTGAACCGATCAAGGCAATTCGAGTCAATAATCACAATGAAATAGATTATGTCACCGCCCATATTAGGTAAAAGTACAAGTTGATAGTAGGAAGACAGGTGTACTGTTAGTAGTAAGAATAATATACGATAACAAAGGACTCATCAATAGTTCAACATTGGAAATAGTAGGTCAAACGTGAATAAATAGAATTAAAATAATCATCACAAAACATTAAAGCCATTACGTAATAAGAAGTGTGTAAATAATTAGATAGTGAAGAATACAAACGGAAAGAGGCGGAAAATCACAAACAAATAATTTTTGTGAAAATAATGCTAGTGATAACGAAAATAAAAAAAATAATGAATGTCTGAATTCACTTAGTATTGTTTGTTTGAATCTTCCCATCGATGTGTTAGGACTGCAACTGGTCAGTCTCTAATTTGCATATGTGCGTATTGCCTCGATATACCTTAATCCATCTCTGCTTAATAATGAATGTCGTTTGTTAAGTTATATCCGGCCACGGAAGAGATACGGGGGTCACGAGTTTCTTCTGTATTCATAAATTGCGGTGAAATGTACGAATTCCTATGACTTCAGCTATATGTAGGAGACGGGATCGAACTCTGTTGGGAATTAATGGAGGTATACCATGGATCACTCGAAATGATTCCGATTTATCTACATTATGACCGCTATCAATAAGATGTGCCAAGATAGAACTGCGTATTGTTTTTATCTGGACCTTCATAAAGCATGCTGGTATATGTTCACTCATTCGTTGCTTAAGTTGCCTGGTGGTACGCTCGATATAAGTATTTCCGCTGGAGCAGCTGATTTTGTAAATACATATTGAGTAGGCTAACTTAGGTAACTTATCCTTCGTTTGAGTAGACATCGCTGGTCGACTCGAGAAACTCGACTCAAGATTGGCTGCGTAGAATGTCCCACTAATTAGTTTCGTTAATCTATCTTTCGAAGTAGACACGTCCCCGTTGAATTGTAGTTTCGTGTATAAAGGTTTCTTTCAAACAGTTGAAATCTCAGACTTCCTGTGTCATACATATACTTCTTAATGAACGCACTATGGTAACCGATCTCTGTCAGTGAGTTATTGATAAATTCCAGTTCCTGAATTAAAGTATCTATTGAACAGATCACTTTCGCTCTGTTAGTGAGACATCCAACCAAATTTCCCTTGTAACGGATAGGTGTAAATCTATAGAAGTGAGTATATTGGCAGACAGAGGGACGTTTTCTATACATACTTCTACTTAGCAATTCATCACTTCGCCTGCTTAGTGTGACATCAAGGAAATTCATTTTTTTGTCACACTCGCCTTCACCAGTGAAACTGACCGTTGGGTGTACACTGTTGAACTGTTCTAGGAGTTTATCCTTACTGGTGTTCTGGTCTACGTTAATGAATGTGTCGTCGATGTAGCCTCAGTACAGATCAAGTTTCTTAATAACTTCATTAAGTGGTCCATTCTCTAGCTTTGTTAGGAAGAGATCAGCTAGAATCGGACCTAGAGGTGAGCCCATGGCTATTCCGTCTATTTGTCTAATAATAAAAATTTGTGAAGATAAAATGGACGTTCAGCGTACATCTTAATAGCAGTCCCTTCAGACTATCCTCAGGCAAACCAATATTGATTTGTTTTTCTGTTATTCGCTTGCATGTAAACTCAATAGTCTCGATATGTGGTACGTTGGTAAACAAAGACACTACATCCAGTGAGATCATATTTTTCATACTAACATATTTTCCATTTTGGAAGTGAAGTCGAAGATATCTTTTACACTCCTTCTAACAAGTGATTTGTGCAAAGTCTCTAAGATGGATTGGTTTAACACTTTCTTATAAATATTCATGTACATTAGAGTAAAGCCTGATGACGATCTAATTGAAAACAATTGTTCGTTTACATGTGTTGTTCTATGAATTTAAGTCTGCGATTATACGGACTTTGTGAGTTTTTAACATGAATGGAATGCCAACTTGTGGGCAGTGAGTTGTGAGATGATATCGTCAAGTAATGATGACTCACGAGATTGAATTATTAATGCCAAGACTTCAAGTGAAATGATAGCAATTTTTAGGAGAGTGGTTATTTTCATATTTAAACGCTATAGCGTTATATAAAATAGTAACATGAAATTAAAGTGGGTAAATGTTGTTTGAAAAATGAGTGATTAAGGGTACATGTATTGTTATAAGCTACTCATAATGCACTAATGAAATTAAGACCTAACTATCAAGTTTAATTCTTGCCCATCATATCACTTTAATCCTGTATTTTCTATAGTGGCCACCGTTAAAAATTGTTGTAGATATAAAATATTTTACAGTTATTTCTACACTTACTACTGCTATGTATTGATCATATAAATATCATTCGTTAATATAATTGACCATTAGTTGTTTCAATTAATCGAATAACCTTTATAGGTATTTCTGTTCACATATCAAAAGTCTTTTTTTAATCTATTTCAAATAGAATCATACTCTCATTTCCGGTCTTCTGCATTAAATATATTTGCTTACACATAGGTTTGTTTGTTTATTTTTAAATATAAAAATAATAATGATATTCAAATGCTGTCAACCGGTGGTTTGTCCGCAGACATAGAAGTAAAATGTACCCACAGATTACTTCGCCTTTCGAGGATTTGCTTAGTTATGGTTTAATAAATGTTAAAGAACTTGATACATTCTTGTGCAGTTGTAAATCATTTGATTTCATTTTTTATTGATTGTTTGTCTGCAGTACCTTATTTCTCAGTATGCTTTTCATTTTACTTGTAAATATAGCAGAGTAAATCATTATTATTTTTACTATTATCATTAGTTAACACAAACAACGCACAGTTTCGTTAGTGCATAATATTTCTCACCAAATGATCTTTGCAGCAGATCATATGATTACATTTTTTAAAGAAGAAATCAACCTACATGTTCAATAGGTTAGTGAATATGTATGTGTGTTATGAAAAAGTTTGGATCAAATTTATTACATTTCTTTTCTTAACGTCATAATATCTCCATGCATGTGTTAGTGTTGTTCATTTCTTTTCACTGTAATATTTCTTGGATTCTTTATTTATATATATATACATAAATAGTCGGCCTGGTACTTTAGTTCCATCTGGTGACGGTCAAATGACACAAGACATACCTACAACTGAGGAATCTAACAGTCGTGATCATTCTCAAGCTGTTTCAGAACCGGATGTGATTAAAAAACGTCTACCTATTGTCAGAAGAATTTCTATACCTCCGAAACCTAATATAAGTCTGAATTTATGGAGCATCATGAAAAATTGCATTGGAAAAGAGTTGACAAAAATCCCTATGCCCGTAAGTGTATATATTTTTTCAGTTTATATTACTTTTTATATTGTCTTGTGTCACTAACTTGCTGTGTGGCATAATTCATTTGATCATATGATTGGGATCTAAGTGAACAGACTGAATAATCAAATATATACTGTGTGAACAACCTAGGTTTATTGGACACGGATTGAATCGACCGGAAAGTTTTGCTATGTACAAGATTACCTACTTTTGTGCATTTTGTACTTACAAATATCAATCGATTAGTTAGTTCAAAGTCACCTGGATTATGGTTAGCTGAAAAAAATAAAGTATCTGTTAGGTCGGCCTCCAGAGAACTCCAACAGAGCCTCCAGAGGCTCAAAAAGAGCTCCAACCAATCAGAGCACGACAGAACATTCTGGAGTTCCAACGTGGCACGCTATCATTGGTCAGTAGCAATTTATGTCGTTAAGTGGATTGGCTGAATTAGGATGTTGATTTAACTTAAGCAAACATCTATAAATACCTACGATTTTCTGTACAAAGATGAACCTTGCAATAAAACATCTTCTCCGTTACTCGTGTCTTCTTACTGGTCTTCAAGTCGCTGAGTAGTGCTAGTCCTGGGGTTATCCGAATAGCTTAGGATCTGAATATAGCGTTCAACCTATAAGATATAACAGTGGCGACGGGGTTAGCTTATCAAGATTTCATTTACCTTTGAACAATTTGAAGCCTTGCTGGAGCGTCAAGAGAAACGATTTGAGCAATTCCAGGTTCGTATCATAGAGACTTTAACGCAGAAATTGAACTTAAGTCAAACTGGTGCTACAGATGATGCTGCCAAATCTAATGTCGACCACATTATTAATTCTATCCATGAGTTCAATTTTGATGGTTCGTCTGGTATTACTTTCGAAACCTGGTTCAAGAAATATGATGATTTATTCAAGGTCGACCTCAGAAAACTTGATGACGCCGCAAAGGTTAGAATACTCTTAAGAAAACTTGGCACAGCTGAACATGAACGCTATAGCAATTTCATTCTTCCAAAGAACCCAAGAGATTTTACTTTTGATGAAACCATTGAGATTTTGTCACAAATTTTTGCTGAACAGTCGTCCCTATTTAATATTCGTTATCGATGTCTGAAGATAACAAAAGCAGCTGAGGATGACTGGGTGAAGCACGCAGGTTTAGTAAACCGTGAATGTGAACGTTTCAAATTATCAACTATGACAGAAGACCAGTTTAAATGTTTCGTATTCGTTTGTAGCCTCCAATCTTCCGAAGATGCTGATATTAGAACTAGAATTTTGAGTAAAATCGAACAGTGCCCAAACATAACACTACAAGAAGTTACTACCGAGTGCCAAAGGTTAGTGAACTTGAAGCATGATACCTCAATGGTAGAAAAAGGTAACTGTTCTTATAATGTCAATGCAGTCAAGAGAAAATCCTTGCAAGGTTCCAGCACACGTAATTATCGTAATGACGGCGACAAACCATCATCTCCATGCTGGGCATGTGGAGGCTGGCACTATAAGAGGTCTTGCCCGTATAAAGATCATCGTTGTAGTGAGTGTCATCGAAAAGGCCATATAGAAACCAGCTGCAGGAAAAGAAACTATAAACGACATTTTGCAAAACCTTACTTCAAGAAATACAGGTCTGGGGCATTAACGAAAAGAATATTGTTATCGTATAACAAAGCTCGAAGGTGCCACCAAAAAAAGTACGTGACCTTGAATATTAATAAACACCGTAGTCGACTTCAGCTTGATACAGCTTCTGACATTACTTTAATAAGCCCAGAAACTTGGAGGAAGATTGGGCGACCCACAGCGCATCGAACAACACAACTAGCACACAGTGCATCCGGCGGAAAGTTAAATATTGTTGGGGAAATACCTTGCATTGTGTCTAAAGGTGCGGTTACGACAAATGCAACCATATACCTTACGAAGAATCCAGGACTCGACTTATTGGGTCTAGATCTTATAGAAACACTCAAGCTAGCAGAACATTCAATTAATAGCATCTGCAGACGAGTTACTTCTGATAACTCCTTAGAGAGTAACCAGAAAAATACTGTGTTGCAAAGACATGACAACGTGTTTAAAGAAGGATTAGGAGAATGCACGAAGGCTAAAGCAGTACTAACTTTAAAACCTGCAGTTACTCCCATTTTTCGACCTAAAAGACCTGTACCCTATGCTGCCCTCCCAGTGGTAGAACAAGAGATAGAACGACTTCAAAAATTGGGTGTCATTGAGCCAGTGAATTTCTCAGAATGGGCTGCACCTATAGTGGTAGTAAAGAAGACTAATGGTAGCATCCGTTTATGTGCCGATTACTCAACCGGGCTAAACGAAGCCCTAGAAACTCATCAGTATCCACTACCCCTACCTGAAGATCTTTTTGCTAAGCTGAATGGTGGTAAGCTCTTTGCGAAGTTAGATTTATCGGAAGCTTATTTACAAATTCCGGTTGCTGATGAATGTAAAAATCTGCTCACCATAAACACACACAAGGGCCTATTCAGGTATAATCGACTACCTTTTGGAGTCAAGACGGCCCCATCTATATTTCAGCAAGTGATGGATACTATGCTACAGGATGTTCCAGGTGCTGCAGCCTATCTGGATGATATAATAATTATGGGAGTAGATAAAATAGACTTAGAAAAGAAGCTCGATCAGGTGCTGTCGCGAATAGCCAAATATGGATTTCGACTGCGTGCAGAGAAATGTAACTTTTGTATGAAAAAGGTAAGCTACCTCGGATTTATAATCGACAAAGATGGCAGAAGACCAGATCCAGAGAATACTCAGGCAGTGAAAACCATGCCTAGACCAACGGACGTCCTTACACTACGATCCTTTCTGGGACTAGTTAGTCATTATGGAGCTTTTATTCCTAACCTTCATCACCTGCGTGCCCCCTTAAATAACCTTCTGGCGAAGAATGTGAAGTGGGATTGGTCTGCGAATTGTCAAGCCGCTTTCGAGAAAATCAAGAAAATACTAGTCTCGGATCTGCTGCTCACCCATTATGACCCATCCTTACCCATTGTAGTAGCATCAGATGCTTCAAACCATGGCATTGGAGCAGTTATTTCTCATATCATGCCAGACGGATCTGAAAAAGCCATATCGCATGCAGCTAGATCATTAACTACAGCAGAACGTAGCTACAGTCAGATCGAAAAGGAAGCATTGTCGATTATCTTTGCCATAAAAAAGTTCCACAAGATGATATTTGGACGCCAGTTCACCCTACTAACTGACCATAAACCATTGTTAGCCATTTTTGGGTCGAAGAAAGGTATCCCGGTATACACAGCAAACAGACTGCAACGGTGGGGAACTACACTCTTAGGTTATGACTTTAAGATCAAGTATCAGCCCACTACTGATTTCGGACAAGCAGACGCTTTGTCTAGACTGATTGGTTCGCAAGTAAAACATGAAGAGGATACATTGGTGGCAGCAATTGAGACGGAAGCAGAAGTACATCCAGTATTGGAAGACGCAGTCGATGGCTTACCAGTCACTTTCAAAGCTATCAAAGAAGCCACGGTAAACGACAAGACATTAAGAGAAGTTAGTGGTTATCTCTTAACCAGGTGGCCGAACCGTCGTTTCCAAAGAGAGATGCTACAATATTTCCGCCGGCGAGACTCACTCATGATGGTCGACTCATGTATTATGTTTGGTGACAGAATTGTGGTTCCAAAAACATTACGCCACAGGGTTCTGAAACAATTCCACAGCGGCCATCCCGGGATCAATAAGTTGAAAGCGTTGGCTCGAAGCTATTCTTACTGGCCTACAATGGATCAAGATATCGAAATCAAATGCCGTAATTGCTCGTCGTGCCTGCAAGCAGCTAAAAATCCAAAGAAGTGCGAACCACAACAATGGGAAAAACCTAATAGTCCATGGGAGAGGCTGCACGCCGATTTCGCTGTCCCAATAAGAGGAAGAATGTTTCTCGTCATAGTGGATGCACTCACAAAATGGCCACAAATCTATGCCATGGCAACTTGTACAGCCAGTGAAACGATCAGCAAGTTATCCGAACTGTTTAGTTGCTTTGGAGTTCCTGAGACTTTAGTGACCGATAATGGGTCACAATTCACTGCAGAATCATTCAAGCATTTCTGCAACATTAATGGAATTGTACATATACGCTCTCCACCCTATCACCCTCAATCAAATGGACAGGTTGAGCGCTTCGTCGACACATTCAAAAGTGCACTCCTGAAAGGGGATGGCGAGGGGACAAGTCAGGCAATTACGAGATTTCTAACAGCTTATAGAACTACGCCTAACCACATCGTCCCAGATGGAAAATCCCCTGCCAAAGCGATGTTCGGGAGAAAAATTCGAACTGTGTTTGACGCCATGTTGCCACCTAAACCAATGGTTGGACGCAGACAAAATCAGAACATCCGGAGTTTTAACGTCGGTGATAAAGTGCTCGTTAAGTCATACAGCGGGAAAAAGCGTTGGGAACCTGGAGTCATTGTAAAGAGAATGGGAAATGTTCTTTACAAGGTGCGTGGGACTTTCGGAACGTGGATTAGACACATTAATCAAATACTCAGAGGAAAAAGGATCCTAGACACCGCAGATAGCCAAGAGAGGCTTCCGCTAGAAGTAGTTACAGATACTCCGGTGGCAAGAACCCCAACAGACACCCATAGACATGAAATACCAAGGAAGTCCGAACGCCACAGAAAACCTGTCACCAAACTGCAAGTAGACCCAAAGAAAAAATCTTATTCGGGGGAGGTGTTAGGTCGGCCTCCAGAGAACTCCAACAGAGCCTCCAGAGGCTCAAAAAGAGCTCCAACCAATCAGAGCACGACAGAACATTCTGGAGTTCCAACGTGGCACGCTATCATTGGTCAGTAGCAATTTATGTCGTTAAGTGGATTGGCTGAATTAGGATGTTGATTTAACTTAAGCAAACATCTATAAATACCTACGATTTTCTGTACAAAGATGAACCTTGCAATAAAACATCTTCTCCGTTACTCGTGTCTTCTTACTGGTCTTCAAGTCGCTGAGTAGTGCTAGTCCTGGGGTTATCCGAATAGCTTAGGATCTGAATATAGCGTTCAACCTATAAGATATAACAGTGGCGACGGGGTTAGCTTATCAAGATGTCATTTACCTTTGAACAATTTGAAGCCTTGCTGGAGCGTCAAGAGAAACGATTTGAGCAATTCCAGGTTCGTATCATAGAGACTTTAACGCAGAAATTGAACTTAAGTCAAACTGGTGCTACAGATGATGCTGCCAAATCTAATGTCGACCACATTATTAATTCTATCCATGAGTTCAATTTTGATGGTTCGTCTGGTATTACTTTCGAAACCTGGTTCAAGAAATATGATGATTTATTCAAGGTCGACCTCAGAAAACTTGATGACGCCGCAAAGGTTAGAATACTCTTAAGAAAACTTGGCACAGCTGAACATGAACGCTATAGCAATTTCATTCTTCCAAAGAACCCAAGAGATTTTACTTTTGATGAAACCATTGAGATTTTGTCACAAATTTTTGCTGAACAGTCGTCCCTATTTAATATTCGTTATCGATGTCTGAAGATAACAAAAGCAGCTGAGGATGACTGGGTGAAGCACGCAGGTTTAGTAAACCGTGAATGTGAACGTTTCAAATTATCAACTATGACAGAAGACCAGTTTAAATGTTTCGTATTCGTTTGTAGCCTCCAATCTTCCGAAGATGCTGATATTAGAACTAGAATTTTGAGTAAAATCGAACAGTGCCCAAACATAACACTACAAGAAGTTACTACCGAGTGCCAAAGGTTAGTGAACTTGAAGCATGATACCTCAATGGTAGAAAAAGGTAACTGTTCTTATAATGTCAATGCAGTCAAGAGAAAATCCTTGCAAGGTTCCAGCACACGTAATTATCGTAATGACGGCGACAAACCATCATCTCCATGCTGGGCATGTGGAGGCTGGCACTATAAGAGGTCTTGCCCGTATAAAGATCATCGTTGTAGTGAGTGTCATCGAAAAGGCCATATAGAAACCAGCTGCAGGAAAAGAAACTATAAACGACATTTTGCAAAACCTTACTTCAAGAAATACAGGTCTGGGGCATTAACGAAAAGAATATTGTTATCGTATAACAAAGCTCGAAGGTGCCACCAAAAAAAGTACGTGACCTTGAATATTAATAAACACCGTAGTCGACTTCAGCTTGATACAGCTTCTGACATTACTTTAATAAGCCCAGAAACTTGGAGGAAGATTGGGCGACCCACAGCGCATCGAACAACACAACTAGCACACAGTGCATCCGGCGGAAAGTTAAATATTGTTGGGGAAATACCTTGCATTGTGTCTAAAGGTGCGGTTACGACAAATGCAACCATATACCTTACGAAGAATCCAGGACTCGACTTATTGGGTCTAGATCTTATAGAAACACTCAAGCTAGCAGAACATTCAATTAATAGCATCTGCAGACGAGTTACTTCTGATAACTCCTTAGAGAGTAACCAGAAAAATACTGTGTTGCAAAGACATGACAACGTGTTTAAAGAAGGATTAGGAGAATGCACGAAGGCTAAAGCAGTACTAACTTTAAAACCTGCAGTTACTCCCATTTTTCGACCTAAAAGACCTGTACCCTATGCTGCCCTCCCAGTGGTAGAACAAGAGATAGAACGACTTCAAAAATTGGGTGTCATTGAGCCAGTGAATTTCTCAGAATGGGCTGCACCTATAGTGGTAGTAAAGAAGACTAATGGTAGCATCCGTTTATGTGCCGATTACTCAACCGGGCTAAACGAAGCCCTAGAAACTCATCAGTATCCACTACCCCTACCTGAAGATCTTTTTGCTAAGCTGAATGGTGGTAAGCTCTTTGCGAAGTTAGATTTATCGGAAGCTTATTTACAAATTCCGGTTGCTGATGAATGTAAAAATCTGCTCACCATAAACACACACAAGGGCCTATTCAGGTATAATCGACTACCTTTTGGAGTCAAGACGGCCCCATCTATATTTCAGCAAGTGATGGATACTATGCTACAGGATGTTCCAGGTGCTGCAGCCTATCTGGATGATATAATAATTATGGGAGTAGATAAAATAGACTTAGAAAAGAAGCTCGATCAGGTGCTGTCGCGAATAGCCAAATATGGATTTCGACTGCGTGCAGAGAAATGTAACTTTTGTATGAAAAAGGTAAGCTACCTCGGATTTATAATCGACAAAGATGGCAGAAGACCAGATCCAGAGAATACTCAGGCAGTGAAAACCATGCCTAGACCAACGGACGTCCTTACACTACGATCCTTTCTGGGACTAGTTAGTCATTATGGAGCTTTTATTCCTAACCTTCATCACCTGCGTGCCCCCTTAAATAACCTTCTGGCGAAGAATGTGAAGTGGGATTGGTCTGCGAATTGTCAAGCCGCTTTCGAGAAAATCAAGAAAATACTAGTCTCGGATCTGCTGCTCACCCATTATGACCCATCCTTACCCATTGTAGTAGCATCAGATGCTTCAAACCATGGCATTGGAGCAGTTATTTCTCATATCATGCCAGACGGATCTGAAAAAGCCATATCGCATGCAGCTAGATCATTAACTACAGCAGAACGTAGCTACAGTCAGATCGAAAAGGAAGCATTGTCGATTATCTTTGCCATAAAAAAGTTCCACAAGATGATATTTGGACGCCAGTTCACCCTACTAACTGACCATAAACCATTGTTAGCCATTTTTGGGTCGAAGAAAGGTATCCCGGTATACACAGCAAACAGACTGCAACGGTGGGGAACTACACTCTTAGGTTATGACTTTAAGATCAAGTATCAGCCCACTACTGATTTCGGACAAGCAGACGCTTTGTCTAGACTGATTGGTTCGCAAGTAAAACATGAAGAGGATACATTGGTGGCAGCAATTGAGACGGAAGCAGAAGTACATCCAGTATTGGAAGACGCAGTCGATGGCTTACCAGTCACTTTCAAAGCTATCAAAGAAGCCACGGTAAACGACAAGACATTAAGAGAAGTTAGTGGTTATCTCTTAACCAGGTGGCCGAACCGTCGTTTCCAAAGAGAGATGCTACAATATTTCCGCCGGCGAGACTCACTCATGATGGTCGACTCATGTATTATGTTTGGTGACAGAATTGTGGTTCCAAAAACATTACGCCACAGGGTTCTGAAACAATTCCACAGCGGCCATCCCGGGATCAATAAGTTGAAAGCGTTGGCTCGAAGCTATTCTTACTGGCCTACAATGGATCAAGATATCGAAATCAAATGCCGTAATTGCTCGTCGTGCCTGCAAGCAGCTAAAAATCCAAAGAAGTGCGAACCACAACAATGGGAAAAACCTAATAGTCCATGGGAGAGGCTGCACGCCGATTTCGCTGTCCCAATAAGAGGAAGAATGTTTCTCGTCATAGTGGATGCACTCACAAAATGGCCACAAATCTATGCCATGGCAACTTGTACAGCCAGTGAAACGATCAGCAAGTTATCCGAACTGTTTAGTTGCTTTGGAGTTCCTGAGACTTTAGTGACCGATAATGGGTCACAATTCACTGCAGAATCATTCAAGCATTTCTGCAACATTAATGGAATTGTACATATACGCTCTCCACCCTATCACCCTCAATCAAATGGACAGGTTGAGCGCTTCGTCGACACATTCAAAAGTGCACTCCTGAAAGGGGATGGCGAGGGGACAAGTCAGGCAATTACGAGATTTCTAACAGCTTATAGAACTACGCCTAACCACATCGTCCCAGATGGAAAATCCCCTGCCAAAGCGATGTTCGGGAGAAAAATTCGAACTGTGTTTGACGCCATGTTGCCACCTAAACCAATGGTTGGACGCAGACAAAATCAGAACATCCGGAGTTTTAACGTCGGTGATAAAGTGCTCGTTAAGTCATACAGCGGGAAAAAGCGTTGGGAACCTGGAGTCATTGTAAAGAGAATGGGAAATGTTCTTTACAAGGTGCGTGGGACTTTCGGAACGTGGATTAGACACATTAATCAAATACTCAGAGGAAAAAGGATCCTAGACACCGCAGATAGCCAAGAGAGGCTTCCGCTAGAAGTAGTTACAGATACTCCGGTGGCAAGAACCCCAACAGACACCCATAGACATGAAATACCAAGGAAGTCCGAACGCCACAGAAAACCTGTCACCAAACTGCAAGTAGACCCAAAGAAAAAATCTTATTCGGGGGAGGTGTTAGGTCGGCCTCCAGAGAACTCCAACAGAGCCTCCAGAGGCTCAAAAAGAGCTCCAACCAATCAGAGCACGACAGAACATTCTGGAGTTCCAACGTGGCACGCTATCATTGGTCAGTAGCAATTTATGTCGTTAAGTGGATTGGCTGAATTAGGATGTTGATTTAACTTAAGCAAACATCTATAAATACCTACGATTTTCTGTACAAAGATGAACCTTGCAATAAAACATCTTCTCCGTTACTCGTGTCTTCTTACTGGTCTTCAAGTCGCTGAGTAGTGCTAGTCCTGGGGTTATCCGAATAGCTTAGGATCTGAATATAGCGTTCAACCTATAAGATATAACAGTGGCGACGGGGTTAGCTTATCAAGATGTCATTTACCTTTGAACAATTTGAAGCCTTGCTGGAGCGTCAAGAGAAACGATTTGAGCAATTCCAGGTTCGTATCATAGAGACTTTAACGCAGAAATTGAACTTAAGTCAAACTGGTGCTACAGATGATGCTGCCAAATCTAATGTCGACCACATTATTAATTCTATCCATGAGTTCAATTTTGATGGTTCGTCTGGTATTACTTTCGAAACCTGGTTCAAGAAATATGATGATTTATTCAAGGTCGACCTCAGAAAACTTGATGACGCCGCAAAGGTTAGAATACTCTTAAGAAAACTTGGCACAGCTGAACATGAACGCTATAGCAATTTCATTCTTCCAAAGAACCCAAGAGATTTTACTTTTGATGAAACCATTGAGATTTTGTCACAAATTTTTGCTGAACAGTCGTCCCTATTTAATATTCGTTATCGATGTCTGAAGATAACAAAAGCAGCTGAGGATGACTGGGTGAAGCACGCAGGTTTAGTAAACCGTGAATGTGAACGTTTCAAATTATCAACTATGACAGAAGACCAGTTTAAATGTTTCGTATTCGTTTGTAGCCTCCAATCTTCCGAAGATGCTGATATTAGAACTAGAATTTTGAGTAAAATCGAACAGTGCCCAAACATAACACTACAAGAAGTTACTACCGAGTGCCAAAGGTTAGTGAACTTGAAGCATGATACCTCAATGGTAGAAAAAGGTAACTGTTCTTATAATGTCAATGCAGTCAAGAGAAAATCCTTGCAAGGTTCCAGCACACGTAATTATCGTAATGACGGCGACAAACCATCATCTCCATGCTGGGCATGTGGAGGCTGGCACTATAAGAGGTCTTGCCCGTATAAAGATCATCGTTGTAGTGAGTGTCATCGAAAAGGCCATATAGAAACCAGCTGCAGGAAAAGAAACTATAAACGACATTTTGCAAAACCTTACTTCAAGAAATACAGGTCTGGGGCATTAACGAAAAGAATATTGTTATCGTATAACAAAGCTCGAAGGTGCCACCAAAAAAAGTACGTGACCTTGAATATTAATAAACACCGTAGTCGACTTCAGCTTGATACAGCTTCTGACATTACTTTAATAAGCCCAGAAACTTGGAGGAAGATTGGGCGACCCACAGCGCATCGAACAACACAACTAGCACACAGTGCATCCGGCGGAAAGTTAAATATTGTTGGGGAAATACCTTGCATTGTGTCTAAAGGTGCGGTTACGACAAATGCAACCATATACCTTACGAAGAATCCAGGACTCGACTTATTGGGTCTAGATCTTATAGAAACACTCAAGCTAGCAGAACATTCAATTAATAGCATCTGCAGACGAGTTACTTCTGATAACTCCTTAGAGAGTAACCAGAAAAATACTGTGTTGCAAAGACATGACAACGTGTTTAAAGAAGGATTAGGAGAATGCACGAAGGCTAAAGCAGTACTAACTTTAAAACCTGCAGTTACTCCCATTTTTCGACCTAAAAGACCTGTACCCTATGCTGCCCTCCCAGTGGTAGAACAAGAGATAGAACGACTTCAAAAATTGGGTGTCATTGAGCCAGTGAATTTCTCAGAATGGGCTGCACCTATAGTGGTAGTAAAGAAGACTAATGGTAGCATCCGTTTATGTGCCGATTACTCAACCGGGCTAAACGAAGCCCTAGAAACTCATCAGTATCCACTACCCCTACCTGAAGATCTTTTTGCTAAGCTGAATGGTGGTAAGCTCTTTGCGAAGTTAGATTTATCGGAAGCTTATTTACAAATTCCGGTTGCTGATGAATGTAAAAATCTGCTCACCATAAACACACACAAGGGCCTATTCAGGTATAATCGACTACCTTTTGGAGTCAAGACGGCCCCATCTATATTTCAGCAAGTGATGGATACTATGCTACAGGATGTTCCAGGTGCTGCAGCCTATCTGGATGATATAATAATTATGGGAGTAGATAAAATAGACTTAGAAAAGAAGCTCGATCAGGTGCTGTCGCGAATAGCCAAATATGGATTTCGACTGCGTGCAGAGAAATGTAACTTTTGTATGAAAAAGGTAAGCTACCTCGGATTTATAATCGACAAAGATGGCAGAAGACCAGATCCAGAGAATACTCAGGCAGTGAAAACCATGCCTAGACCAACGGACGTCCTTACACTACGATCCTTTCTGGGACTAGTTAGTCATTATGGAGCTTTTATTCCTAACCTTCATCACCTGCGTGCCCCCTTAAATAACCTTCTGGCGAAGAATGTGAAGTGGGATTGGTCTGCGAATTGCCAAGCCGCTTTCGAGAAAATCAAGAAAATACTAGTCTCGGATCTGCTGCTCACCCATTATGACCCATCCTTACCCATTGTAGTAGCATCAGATGCTTCAAACCATGGCATTGGAGCAGTTATTTCTCATATCATGCCAGACGGATCTGAAAAAGCCATATCGCATGCAGCTAGATCATTAACTACAGCAGAACGTAGCTACAGTCAGATCGAAAAGGAAGCATTGTCGATTATCTTTGCCATAAAAAAGTTCCACAAGATGATATTTGGACGCCAGTTCACCCTACTAACTGACCATAAACCATTGTTAGCCATTTTTGGGTCGAAGAAAGGTATCCCGGTATACACAGCAAACAGACTGCAACGGTGGGGAACTACACTCTTAGGTTATGACTTTAAGATCAAGTATCAGCCCACTACTGATTTCGGACAAGCAGACGCTTTGTCTAGACTGATTGGTTCGCAAGTAAAACATGAAGAGGATACATTGGTGGCAGCAATTGAGACGGAAGCAGAAGTACATCCAGTATTGGAAGACGCAGTCGATGGCTTACCAGTCACTTTCAAAGCTATCAAAGAAGCCACGGTAAACGACAAGACATTAAGAGAAGTTAGTGGTTATCTCTTAACCAGGTGGCCGAACCGTCGTTTCCAAAGAGAGATGCTACAATATTTCCGCCGGCGAGACTCACTCATGATGGTCGACTCATGTATTATGTTTGGTGACAGAATTGTGGTTCCAAAAACATTACGCCACAGGGTTCTGAAACAATTCCACAGCGGCCATCCCGGGATCAATAAGTTGAAAGCGTTGGCTCGAAGCTATTCTTACTGGCCTACAATGGATCAAGATATCGAAATCAAATGCCGTAATTGCTCGTCGTGCCTGCAAGCAGCTAAAAATCCAAAGAAGTGCGAACCACAACAATGGGAAAAACCTAATAGTCCATGGGAGAGGCTGCACGCCGATTTCGCTGTCCCAATAAGAGGAAGAATGTTTCTCGTCATAGTGGATGCACTCACAAAATGGCCACAAATCTATGCCATGGCAACTTGTACAGCCAGTGAAACGATCAGCAAGTTATCCGAACTGTTTAGTTGCTTTGGAGTTCCTGAGACTTTAGTGACCGATAATGGGTCACAATTCACTGCAGAATCATTCAAGCATTTCTGCAACATTAATGGAATTGTACATATACGCTCTCCACCCTATCACCCTCAATCAAATGGACAGGTTGAGCGCTTCGTCGACACATTCAAAAGTGCACTCCTGAAAGGGGATGGCGAGGGGACAAGTCAGGCAATTACGAGATTTCTAACAGCTTATAGAACTACGCCTAACCACATCGTCCCAGATGGAAAATCCCCTGCCAAAGCGATGTTCGGGAGAAAAATTCGAACTGTGTTTGACGCCATGTTGCCACCTAAACCAATGGTTGGACGCAGACAAAATCAGAACATCCGGAGTTTTAACGTCGGTGATAAAGTGCTCGTTAAGTCATACAGCGGGAAAAAGCGTTGGGAACCTGGAGTCATTGTAAAGAGAATGGGAAATGTTCTTTACAAGGTGCGTGGGACTTTCGGAACGTGGATTAGACACATTAATCAAATACTCAGAGGAAAAAGGATCCTAGACACCGCAGATAGCCAAGAGAGGCTTCCGCTAGAAGTAGTTACAGATACTCCGGTGGCAAGAACCCCAACAGACACCCATAGACATGAAATACCAAGGAAGTCCGAACGCCACAGAAAACCTGTCACCAAACTGCAAGTAGACCCAAAGAAAAAATCTTATTCGGGGGAGGTGTTAGGTCGGCCTCCAGAGAACTCCAACAGAGCCTCCAGAGGCTCAAAAAGAGCTCCAACCAATCAGAGCACGACAGAACATTCTGGAGTTCCAACGTGGCACGCTATCATTGGTCAGTAGCAATTTATGTCGTTAAGTGGATTGGCTGAATTAGGATGTTGATTTAACTTAAGCAAACATCTATAAATACCTACGATTTTCTGTACAAAGATGAACCTTGCAATAAAACATCTTCTCCGTTACTCGTGTCTTCTTACTGGTCTTCAAGTCGCTGAGTAGTGCTAGTCCTGGGGTTATCCGAATAGCTTAGGATCTGAATATAGCGTTCAACCTATAAGATATAACAGTATCATCTTTCCAGCCTATGCGAATAAACTAGATTCAGGACACATGTTGTAAAAACTCATTATCTCTTTTTCTGGTAAGAATGATGATCGTTTATATATTTGTTTCCCTATTTCATAGTCGAAATATTTTTTCGTATCATTTCATGTTGTGATAATCAGATAACATTTGAATTTGTAAATCTGTCTGAAGTGTAGCATTCTGTAAATACCTCCTGAAAGTTTACTAGGGCAGTAATGGGACAGTCGACAGTTACTTACCATTAATAGGGACTTTTGCACTAGGTACATCGAATACGCTCTACCGGCTCTTCATTTCAATTCAGTCCATGTTTGTGTAATCTGTCTTTAACAACTGCTGATAAATCAGTCTTCTAACTTTGATGGTTAATTAGTCTCCCTTTATAGGTCATTAATACTACGTCTAGTCTTTGTATTTATGAATTGTTTTGGTCCGAATTTACCTTTTTTTTTACAAAAGGCTGTATACTAAGTATGTTTGTGTTCTAATTGTTATGTTTAATTTATTTCGTTAGCCCTAATTCATGTGGGTACCTGCCGTTACTGAGAATAAATTGCCTTGAACTGTCATTATACCAATTTTATTTACATAATTATTAATATGTGTTCTATTTCTGTTAAATCTTGGGAAATATAAGAACACAAAAAATATGGAACTAATGAATCGCTAACACATGAACGAAAATAACCTATCCAACTTACAAAGTGGATTAGAGATCAACCTTTAAAAGAGATATCATTTTGACAAACACGGATTTTTCAAATAACTATGTCATAAGTAGATTAAAAGTTACTTTTCATCTGAAATAAACTATCAGTAAAGTGGCAATAATTAAGAGAGGGACCTGTGATTTACAAGAACACTAAGATAACAGTTCAAAATTTATGAGCCATAGAGATAATTTTATACAGTACCGCCATCAAGTCTCTATCCATTGAAGCACTTTTGAATTCGTCTTATAGTAAGTTTTAATTTGTTTACTTGACTTGTGAGTCTTACCTCCTTCGAATTTATTCAATAGTTGTCCTTCTCTTTCTAAAGTCTAAATAATAAATGCAGCTGTTATGACTGTACCTTCCTTATTTAGTCGATTTCTCATTAGCATCTAGATATTAGTTGCACTTAGGGTTCAATTAAATTTTCTCAAGCTCTTTCGGAGATGTTGAATTCATTAGTGTGATGTCGTTTATTCATTATTCTATTCCTGTCTACTCTGTTATTTGACTGGAAATCAAACAGTCCAAATGCATGTCAAAGGGAGAAATGTCTTCATCAAATATATATCTTAGGATAGTGGCTTACATGTTTTTATCAGAAGATTCACAGGATAGTATAACCAATGAACGAATGTTGAGTCGAATATATAGGTACTGATTACAAACCAGATAATAGTATTGTAAAGTTCATTCGATTATTATTAAGGGCACAATATTCTCAAATACAAGTGTTGAAAAAAGTCAGTCTTAATTTTTTCATGCCAATGATTTTTTACTCAACAGTTAACTTTCAGCGTATTTTAATTGTATTAAATCATTCTGAGTAAATCTTATTCATTGACTTTTATCGTGATTCTAGTTGCTACTAATTATTTTATTGTAAATACATTTTCCCTTGTATTGATTATTTCATTGAAATTTCGAGTTGATTGATAATTATTCAATTGAGAAAATGTTATAATTAACATATAGTTGAATATAAGTAAATTTATACGATCCCGATCAGAAAGTTACTGTTAATTTATGCGGTTTTCTCCCTCCGAATGCGAAATGTTGCTCCAGGATTGGCTTGCGTCGGCGCCATAATTGATGATAAGGAGTGGAATGGTTGGACGCATTAACCGCTCTACTTGTCTTAGATGTCTCGTCAGTGCTGATGGTCTGATGTCTAACGAAATCTCAGCACGGATTCGAAAAGCTCGACTGGCACCACTTGTGGCGTAGATAAGATTTCCGTTTGCCAATGAATGGACGAGTTTACTGCTCAACAGTTCGCTTGGCTTTACTTTATGGATGTGAAACATGGTCACTTAGAGAAGAAAATATTCGAGGACTACTAGTACTTGAACACAGGTGTCTACGAAGCATTACCTGTGTGTTTCGGGACTGCTCAGTAAGCATTACCTGGGTTAGGAATAGAGTACTGGGAAAAGATGGTTAATCGATAGAGGAATTAGTAAATCTTCAACTAAGGTGGTTGGAATATGTGTTACGTATATCCAACCACTGCGTACTTCGACGGGCTATAGTGTCTGTTGTCGTAGTAGTCTGAAAGAAATTTAGTAACAATCAGACTGAAAAATTACAACTGTCCATGAAGTTTTACTGAAAATTGGGTTTAGCCGTGTTATTAGGTATAGACTACTTGGTTCGTGTTAGAATGATTATCATAACCAGTGGTTGGAGACTGAGTGAGATGGCTTAAAACTGTTTGCAATATATCTGGTGCGTCTAGTCTTTATCTTCCCTCATATTTCAAGCTTCTGAGTTCCTCATGATTATTTTTGTTTTACTAACTTATATAATCTCAAACTGTATCTTTGATGCCTAATCTTCTCTAGTACAACTAATATTGTTCCTACCTCTACTCATTCGATTTAGTCCAACAACTTCATCTCTCTATGTTAATAGAGCATATCAACTTGAACCTATGTACATATGTGCGTGGTTCTACATTGCGTTTGACTGACTGACTGGATAAAAAAATACGTATTTCATTTTAAGTTTATTCGTTCTTTAAAATTCATCCTAGACATTCAAAAATGATCAGTTAATTGTTTTTAATACAGTATGATGACATTCTATTGTACAGTTCGACAAGAGAAGCATATATAAATATTTAACCGTCTTCTTAAAGAATCACCATAGAATAGTAAGGTGTTTGCACCCAAAAGCTTAATAAACAATCGATTGATCGTCACCATTTGTAAAAGCTATTGTTCAGGTTGTTTACTTAGTATCAAATCTTCGCCCCGTTTTTCCTTCGGTATAGAATAGTATAAATAATTATTTGACATGATAATAATCATATTAAGCATAGATGATATTACGTTATCAAAGACTTGATTACTCAGCGAAATCAACTTTGAAGAATCATTTACTTGACACAAAATGTACAGCGTTGCTTTAATAATCTAAATATTAAATTTTGGTATCTTCAACTTTTAAAATACCTTCTATAAACTATTAAATAAGGTGATACGATGTAATGATTATTCCAAAATATGATTTTAGCATAATATTCATGATAAATGTTTGTATTTAACAACACAATGTTTTGCATATTTTTCAGGTCAATTTCAGTGAACCTCTATCAATGCTTCAACGTTTAACAGAAGATTTCGAGTATTCCTCATGCTTAGATCATGCAGCTGCTTGTCAAGACTCATTGGAACAAATGGCATATGTGGCTGCTTTCACTGTATCCGCTTATGCTACAACTGCAGTGCGTACAAATAAACCGTTTAACCCTTTATTGGGTGAAACATATGAATGCGATAGAACTGACGATTTTGGCTGGAGATCGTTTGCTGAGCAGGTATATTTTCCCTTCATAAATTGTGTAACATAAAAATAGTAAGCTGTATTTATATAAGTTATTTCAGTGCTCTAACATTACTTATAAGTCTTTCAGTTTTATTTCCATTTCAACTTATTCTGTTAAAAACCAACTTTACTTTTGAACACTGTAGCATGGAAATAATTTATTTAAAATGATCGATGTGGGAAGGTAACAAATGATGCACATCTTATCGTTAGTCATTGCATTTACACAAATTTAGCTTTAGAAGTTATCTATAGAATACTATTTAGCCTAACATATGTCCCTAGAATTTGTCCCTAACATACAAAAAAGCCATAAGAGAATACACTTGATTACTTTCACAGAAAATCACTAAACATTTATATTCCATTGTTTAATTTCAAGCTTACTAAGTTCCTATTCTTACGTAACTAGTAATAATCAACCGATTTTGTAAACATGTTCAGATTTCAATTTCGTTTCTCCCGACATATTGATTAGTAGCTTGAGACAGGCATTGCTGAGTTGATGCACCACAATTAATTTTGTATCGATTTTGTACTATGTTGTAGAACCATGTCGTGGCACCAATTTAAGAGAAATATTTCTTTCAACGTGCATCGTTAATTTGTAAACTGTAGTATAAAAGTTGATGTAATACTCTTGTGAATTACTATGTGTTATCAATTCCTATTATTGTTAATGCAATTCAATTGTTAAATGTACATTGTTGAGTGTCCTAAAAATAGTAAATACAAACATTTGATCTTATAGCTTCTTCGAATACGCTAAAATCATCAATTATAGATTAAGTTACTTCAGGTCACACTGTTATGTATCCATTTATATGTTACCAAAGAGCTTATTAGTAATCATACTTATCTTTGTTATTCTTCTTCATCTTGTACTCATTCGTTCCATTTACCCTCTTCACTTTTTGACAATGCAATTTTACATTATGAGTAATGCACCTATCACGAATTGAACTTTATCATTAAAAACATGTGTTAATACTTGTAATTTATTTATAACCACTTGAGTAGCAGAAAATGTAATGCCAATTATTTGGTCATTTTAATGAATTCCGATTCTACGTTGTTAAAATCGAGCTTTACGATAAAGCTGTGTTTTAAAAAGCCTTTCATTAATAGGGATTACTTGGGTTTGTCAAATTAATTTCTGATTGTGATTACCATTATTTCGACAAAATAGAAATTAATTTACCTGACTTCCTATAAACGAGTGAGTTGGATTCAACAAATATATCGAGTGACAAATACATAGGCATCAAAGTTTTCTTAACTTGTTTCAGTCGCTGGAGTTTTTTTTTCACTTCTTTACTTTTCTGGATGAATTTCATCTGTTGTTGCCGAATTGTAGTGATCAAGATATTGAAACTGAAACTTTATCTTCATCAGCTGTATATATAAAATATGATAATTAGTTATATTTAGGCTTTAATGTTTCATTCTTTTTCAAACTAGAAATAATTTCCGCTTAGTTTAATAATCTCTTTTTTAAATTCCCTATTGTTGTGCTTCATTCAGTTCATATTCAACTATTTTTATTTGTATGCTTACTAAACATTTTTCTAAAAAAGATCGAAATATATACTGTAAACTGTGAAAATCGTAGGTATTTTCCAAATTTTTTAGCATTTCTGTTTTCCAGTACCAAATCCATGACTAATTTCAATATTATATTCCAGTAGTTTAATTAGTAATTAGTGTGTTTTTCACAAAAGATATCGTATGTGCTTATTAATTATTACAGGCTTATATTCTTTTGAAATCTATGCCATGACTGCATATTTCAATTCATTTATTTTATTCAATAATACATTTGAATAATAATTAAATTATCCGCCTCATTGTTTAATTACTTCGTAATAATCATCATTTTTGGCTCTATTGGAATGTGCATTGTTGTTACTTATATATATCACTGCTTGATAAGTATTGATTTTATTGATATTAATGTCACTAAAGATATTTATTGGTAAGTTACCGTGATAAAAAACCAAGTGAAAAGAAATATTTCTGATTGTTTTCCAAATATATAAGTAGGGATTGTTGTTCCACTGAAATTCAACTAGGTTTTTTGCGGTACTATTTATACCTATTTGTGGAATGATTTCTCCCCTTCAATAGTAATGAATGACTGCTCCTTTAGTATTCTTTCTATGTGCTACGTAATTTAGTCGTTTCTCACATTATATGAACAAGTGATAAATAAATTTACTGACTTCAGCATACTTCATCAAAACGAATCTCTGTTGATTCAGTTTAGTCAAGAAAGGAACGATATGATGTTAAAGTTATAAGTTGTAATGTTTTTAGCAAATGTAAAAAACACGAACCTCATTTGATATATATTGATTATCCTCGTGCTGTTTGTGAAACTTGCCTATCCTTGGTTTCAAATAGTATTTCGTAAGATTTACCTTTCTTATAAATTTTTGTACTACAAGTAGTACTTTTTATGATAGTTTCCATTTTAAAAGTTTTACATTAACAAAATCCAAACATGTTTTAGGTCAGTGTTTTTAACGATGCATTCAGACAAACATTTGATTGACTGGTAATTTAAGTCGTTGGTTGTTCTTACCATACATAATTTTTGACTTTGTATGTTTCCATAATCTGTGTTAACCAGTATAGCATTGGTCATGTTGTGATAACCACCTATACTGTATACTTCATTCTTAAAAGCGATGTAAGCTTTCATCAATTATGAAAGACAAACATTCATTATAGATGAAATCTTCTGCAACGTGTAAGTGTACTACTAATCTTATATCATTATGTCTTAATAAGTAAAAGCAATAACGATATTACCGTTAGAATTTTGTTTCTCGTCATGTGGTCTGTGCTGCCTTGTTCATCAGTTGAATATTGTAGGCCATTTATAATCTGAACTTCATTGACACTGATAGGGAAAATTGTTCATTTCAAAAGAAACTATTTCGGGCACTTTAATACACGTTTACCCATTAGTCTCTCAAAGTTTATTAAGACTACATTTAGATGAAAATAAAGTTCAATCTTTCCAGCTAAGCGATAATTAATTCAATTTTTAATATACTCATTTCTGTTAGTCATATTCTGCTTGTTATGTCAATTGGAACACAAGCTAGTTTAGGGAGTTTAATTAAGAGCCTTTATTTACTAGTAAAGACAGTACCTCAAGAATAAATGTTCTTCTACTATGTGGGCAGTCGTAAAGTGACAGCCGCCTTCATACATCTTATACCTGAGGTCACCTTGTGGCAGCTCCAGAAAAAATAAGCTTTATATTCATCTGTTCGACTAGTTTTGTTAGAGGTATGAGGGCAGTTATCACTTACCTGTTGCCCACACCATGGAAGGGTTCTTCGACTAGTTTATTATTACTTTTTTGTTATCAGTTTATTAAAGTTTTAAAAAAATCTGATTTTCGTCAAACAGTATAAGCAATTTTACTTGATGATATAATAATGGTTATTATTTTGATTATATATATCCCTTCATCTATTTGCTTGTTTTAAAAGATATCGTAACTTGTTTATTCTGTTTCCCTCATATATTTTATACAGGTCAGCCATCATCCACCAGCATGTGCTTTACATTGTGAAAGTAATGCTTGGTATTGTTGGTTCGATTTTTCTATGACAACTAAATTCCGTGGTAAATACTTACAGATTAATCCAGTTGGTACATGCCATTTAGTATTTCGTCGAACAGGTCATCATTATACATGGCATAAAATCCCATTGACTGTTCATAATATCATTGTTGGACGTTTATGGATTGATAATAGTGGCGAAATGGATATTATAAATCATAATACAGGTGAAAAGTGTCATCTCTCTTACAAACCGTATTCATATTTTTCTAATGACAAACCACGTCGGGTGAGTTGTTGTTTTTCAATTGTCTTTTTTATTCTAAGTAGATCAATAATTATAACTGGGTTCCAATCTAGAAATTATTTTAATATCTGATATTCAGATGAATTTCATAAAATAGTATAAGATTAACCAAGATATTTGAGAAATAGTTACAGGCATTTTAAGTAATATCAAGTCAAAATCTGGTGTTCATTCGCTACTAAGGTTGGGATGAATGATAGTTCTTGAATTTCTGTCAGATAATTGCGATAAATGACATTCCAGATTGTATCATATCACATATTGTTTGTTGCACATAAACATCAGCTGCTGTATTTCGACCTATAAGCTCAGTGTTCAACATCGTCTGCTCACTGTTAGTTGTTTGGTCTACCAGTTTTCAAAGCGATCTAATTAAGTCACCATGATTCATTGTGAATAAATATTGTGCTAATACCCTATAAATCACCTCTTCGTCTTCAGAAAATTCTTCTAGTTTTATAGTTCGTATTCCCATTTAAGGGACATCCTTTCTCGAAACAACATATGATTGAAAATGTACCATTGACTCCTTAACAGGGGCTAATGACAGCACTTTTGTGTTATCATATTTTTTATCAGCAACGCTCATAGCATATTCATACCAGAGAAAATTTAGTAAAAATTAGTCATTATCAGTCTATTTGAAGTTTCGAAGCTTACGTGTTTGATGTCTAATATCTGTTTTTAAAAATGTTTTTCCCTTTGTTCTAGGTTACAGGTGCTGTACTTGACAAGTCTGGTGATGTACGATATGTTTTAAATGGTACATGGGACGATTCACTCGAGTATGCACCTGTAGTGAGCACTAGACATTCACGCAATGGAAAACCAGTATTGGAAACTGGACCTGCACGTGTTCTGTGGCAAAGTAATCCTTTACCACCGGATGCAGAACGAATGTATTGTTTCACGCGTTTAGCATTGCAGCTGAACGAACCTGAGGAGGATGTTTGCCCTACTGATTCTCGTCTGCGTCCTGATCAACGTCTTATGGAAGCCGGTCGTTGGGACGAAGCTAACAGAGCGAAAGTAGAACTTGAAGAACTACAGCGCCAACGAAGACGTCAAATGGCTGCCGAGTTAGCCGCACAGTCACTTGCTTCTAGCAAACAGGACGAAACTAGTAACACACACAGTAAATCTGATAGCTCCGTTTCTGAACAATATAACAGTCAATCAAGCCCGTCTGTCAGTAACTTTCGTAAGTTCTCAAGCGTTAGTGAGTTTCTTGCTTTTTCATATATCTAATCTTCTTGTTTTTTTTATTTTGAGTTTAGGCATGTGAATACCATTTGTGTTGTTTTGCATAAATACCATTATCATTTCCGTATGTATGTACTGAATAATTTCGTTTTTCACTACTCTTCGGAACACAAAACTTAAGGATTCAATAACGTTGTTTATGTGAGAAAAAAAGTTTTAGAAGTATTTAGAATATTTGAAATAACTTATCGTTATTTAACAGTTTGTAACACATCAATGTTATAACTTGTGTCCGAGTGGATACCTTGCTAACGTAGATGTGATAAGACCGTTAATCAGAGGGCAGCGAATTATCGATTGGAACACTTACATACGAAAACTATACGAGCAATCTAGAGTGCTTATCGATCCTGCTTCTGTCTGCCCCCAAATGCCCTGGTACGGCCGACAGTGGGGAGAGTCTGCTCTCCCTCTCGAAATGCTCTCAAATGGCCACGCGAATATATAGCCTCTGTCATGGAAGTCCTACTCACTGCCTTCTCGTGGCGGGGGTGTTGTTCACAAAAGTGAGAGGACGAAAAGCGAATGTCCGGCGCTTTAACCGGGTTGGTGGATGTGGAGGATCCACCTAGGGGAGTTGGAAAACCCTGATTCCAAACCAATGGTGCACATGGGCTCCAGTATCCTGAAGGAACAAATGGCGTATGAATCAATCGTTGGTCACCGGCTAGCATAGGACTGCATCTCCTCACGATGCCCCACTGCCTTGTGGACTAGACCTTCAGGTCAAAGGCTCCGGGTGTGGCCCCCTAAGAAAACCACCTTTTTCAGTCTGGGCACCTGAGCAGTATCACAGCCCTCACACAAATCGAATGAGATTTGTGAGGCGCATATGTATCTGGTGCTTCCTTGTACCAATATTTATGTGTTTAAATAAAATAAAATGCTTCTGTCTAGCCCAGCCAGTTAAGTTCAGAACACCAATAACAGCCTCTACGGTATGAATCATTGTATTTCAAACATACCAAGTTTATATATCAAACAGACCGATCACATCGTAAAATAGAAAATAACATTTGCTCAAAATATAGCCAAATGTGGCTGTGAATGTGGGAGGCATCAATTAATAGACTAAGGATAACTCAAGTATGGTAATGGTAGTCTATAAGTCAAAATAAAGCTTATAATAAGGGGGACACTAATATGAATAGTTTCGTTATTTAGCAAATACACTATAAAAATTATATGCATAATATTGGTCCATAAATGGGTCCCGAAGTTATCATTCACTATTGTTATCGGGACATAACAATCAAATACACAAGTAGCATGTTATGGTGATTTTTAAGTTGCTCATTAGGTCTCTTTGTTGAATAAGCAATCACTTATATAACGTCTTCACTAAATATTTACAGGTTTAGATAAGAGATGTTTTTCTTATTCCTCTATACTCTGATATTTCGCTAAATACTTATAATGCCCTGACCATGTGTATATCCTATCAGTTAGTAGTGTCCAAGCTGAGAATTAACTCCTGTAATATATTCCTTATTTCGGGTTGCAGGTCCGAATATACACACAGCTATTGTAGTGAACAGAACACCGGTTAGTGAAGATCGAGTGTATTTAGACACAAATTGCAGACTATCTCACTAAATTCTGATAACCACACAGCAAACAGTTAATTTGCAAAATAACAACCAATTGTCTCAATCTTCACTGTTCCTTCTGTAAATATCAGTTCATCTTCTCTAATTCCATTGTTCATGCATTTCCCTAACATTTGCGCTTCATTTCAGTTCTTTCCTTATCGGTCTTCTGCCAAGATATATTCTATGTCTGACCATCGCCATATACTACTTATATAGATATAATTAGACCACACTACACTATGACTTAAGGTCGAGTAAACGAATCTGTACTTGTCAATTGAATTCTATTATTAACATATCCTGCTTCGTGCAATTAATGTCATGTTTACTAATGATTATTCATTAATTAAATTTTTCCAGTCGATATTGTTGATAGCCAGCATAAACCACTATGGTTTACAAAAGAATTCGATCAATTTACAAACAAAGAAACGTATATATTTACTGGGAAATACTGGGAGCACAAATTAATTCATGATTGGTCATTGTGCCCGAAGATCTACTAATCTTCATAAGTGCAGAGAAAAGGGATATACATATTCACCGAATTATTTTTAATTTTCTTTTTCTTGCCAGTGAATTACTAGACTAATCGTGATAGATATTATTTGTTTCCGTGTTACAGACATGGAGTTATTCTTGTACTTCTACAACAGTTACAATATCTTGAGTATTATCAATATTCAAGATTGGTATGCACACATTTAGATTTGTAATCTTTTTCCAATAATTCAAAGACATTCTCATCAGTGTCTGTAATTTTCAAGAAGTTACCTTTTTTCAGAAATACATATTTTTCTTGTGTTCTACTCTGATTTCTGTGAATGATCATGAAACGAAGTCGTAAAGCCTAGTCTAATGCTTATCAGTACTAACACTTTTCCATCCACGTATACTGTATTAATAACTATTTAGTGTGACTGTAGTTCACTTTTCTCATTTGACTCCATCCAGTTGCATCTGATAGCTATTTACTTCTACTTATCAGCAAACAAAATTATTCAGTCGAATCCAAACGTTACTCTAATTTCTTACATCAGGTATACAAACTAAATCCTGCTATTTGATTCATGGTTGTTGTTTTTTCTCCATAAATGTTCTTGATCAGTTATTTGCTTTTGTGAAGAAAGAACATTACATCTGATTATATTTAATCGGCATGTTCATTCCTATTTTTCCACCTGCTCCTTATTTGTGTAGCATAAATTCCTCCTAGTGTTTACAGAAGACACTCATTTTGTGATTAAAATCTTTCAGTTTGTTTAATTTTCCCTATATTGAATATTATGTTCTACTTGTTTCTCTCTATGATTCGATTTAACTAGAGCTAATGAACTTTGTGCATTGACGTGATCTTTCTCGCTGTATTTCTCTTATAATGAACTTAGCTATTTACATAATTCTTTTTCAATTAAACAAAAAAAACATTATTCAGCATTCAAATTAAGATATATGATAAATAATGCTCAACTTTCTGTGAAATTTCATATTTCAATATTGCGTACTAATTGAGAGTTAATATCTAATATTGGATTTAACTTGGAACTGCTAATTTAACCAGGAATTTTGAAAATTCATAAGATTTGTTATGACTGCGCACTGATTGATGTTGTGCAATGCTAAATTAATCGGTAATTAGTTAATACTTCATTAAAAAAGTACCATTTACATGTATTTTAATAAAAGGACATTGACCAGCACTTGAGATAATTTACAAGAAATAAAAATATGTTGAGACCACTCGTATTTCAACATCATTTGCGTTTTAATTCTTCGCTTTAATATAAGTAAATACCCAGTCATATTTTTAATCAGATAGACTAGTGTAGGAATGTTAATCATTTGCATTGTTTTACTTTCTGACTTTAACCATATCGGTTACTTGTGTGAGTACAATTACTCTGTCTCATAAATCGTTAAACAAAAATTGGTCTGTCTCGTGCAATTGCACCGCGAATTAACTGAGTCACCAGACCATAAAAGGCTTGTTTGTTTTTAACTGGTTTTACCCCAGTATTTGGCTATTAACAGTTAAAGACCTAAAACTAATCCATGTGAAGTTGTGTGAATAAAACTCAAGGGGTCTAAATGTCTGGTACGGCCGAGAATGGGAAGAGTTCGCCCTCACTCTCGAAATGCTCTCACATGGCCACGCGAATATATAGCCTCTGCCAGGCAAGTCCTACTCACTGCCTTCTCGTGGCCCCGGTGTTGTTTACGAAATTGAGAGGAAGAAAAGCGAATTTCCGGCGCTTTAACGCGGTTGGTGGATGTGGAGGATCCACCTAGGGGAGTTGGAAAACCCTGATTCCAAACCAATGGTGCACATGGGCTCCAGTATCCTGAAGGAACAAATGGCGTATGAATCAATCGTTGGTCACCGGCTAGCATAGGACTGCATCTCCTCACGATGCCCCACTGCCTTGTGGATCAGAACTCTAGGTCAAAGGCTCCGTGTGTGGCCCCCTAAGAAAACCACCTTTTTCAGTCTGGGCACCTGAGCAGTATCACAGCCCCTCACACAAATCAAATGAGATTTGTGAGGCGCATATGTATCTGGTGCTTCCTTGTACCAATATTTATGTGTTTAAATAATATAAGAAATAAATGGTTTCCAGGATGTTATCGCTTGTATTCCTGGAAGTGATGTTACCAACTGAGTTAGTCACAAATGTGAAGTGTCAGCGGAATCCCAACTATCATTATCTACAGTATTAATCCAAGTTAGTACGCATCCTTTATGTTTTACAAGAGAAGTAGGTCATGCGAAAAGTAAAGCAGTGGGGCTTTTAATGTAACAACTTCAATAGTTCGACTTATTCCAACACGCCAGCGATACTTACCAAAGTTTTAAATGTTTTGTGTGCAGTTGTAGAGGTTGTCGAGAAACCAAAACATTATGGCTCAGTAACTGGAATCAGTTACAGCTGATAATTGGACTGGTTATTTTTACTAAACGTTAAGTTAATATCTCATAACCAAGAGCTTTAACAATTAGTTTTGATGTTCCCAGCAGTTTGTAAAGAAGCGCTCGACTACTCATCGTTAAAAATCCTAATTTATTCAATGCCTATCAGTCTTTGTAGTTTCTTTAGTGGATATACTTCTAATATTTGGTTTCGACATTCATTGTAGCTGGAAACACGAAATTCCAAGGATAAAATACAGTTTAAAACTTCCCATCAGGAAAATAATCGGGGATAACCATAAATAAAGTAGTAGCCTTGTAATTAGTAATATCATATAGTAATGGAGCAGCAAGTATATGCACGGTGTGCATATCAGATGAAAGAAAAGAAACTGAAGTATCAGAAACAGTACGAAGAATTAAAAGGATTATTTCATTAACTAAATAGCTTACAAATAATCGTATTAGCATGAATAGAAAAGTAATGTGAGTATGCTATTATTATATTTACGAATGTAGAGAAGATGAGAATGGCAATGTTGGGGATGTATAAATCACTTGGCAAATGACTTATTTCATTTTGTAAATTTGAATTTCTTTGTTTTTGCGCCAAGAGCGCTCTTTTCACCGTCGAGTCGTATTTTCACTTGGGAAAATCTTAAACGCTATTTATCCGTTGTATTTTTATACGCTATTTTGTAATGCTTCCCAAGGACAACTGTATGTATATGTGTTTGATTTCTTCCTGTCTTTGGAGGAAACTGTACAAACCTATTTTTCTATTACCAGTGTATTAGACTGATATTTAAATATAAACTATATGTAGAAAAAATACATATGACATAAGATGATTATTTGTAAATTTTTGACTGTTGCATATCACAGAAAGTTATAATGCCTCCTGAGTCCAGAACATGAATCTCAGCCCCCGCGATATGAACCATGAATTTCGAACCTATTGGGTTTATATACAAACCAAACAGACCACATCTCAACATAAAATAGGAAATAACGTTTGTACAAGATCTAACCAAAAGTGGCTATGAATGTGGGAGACTGTAGTTAATAGACTAGGCATAACTCAAGAACGGTGAGTCGTATATTAATAGTTTATAGGTCAAAATAAAGCTTCTAATAAGAGGAGTATCGATATACACAAGCTAGCTCCTGAATAGTTATACATTAAGAATATACATATAATATTTCTCCATAAATAGCCCTCAAAAGTTACCATTCATAATTCTCATCGGGATATAACATTTATTTAGGACCTCAGTGATGCCAAGTGCTTTTAGATGAGCATAATCTCCATTTCATCCGGATAATTGCTCAACTAACTGGTGTTACCACTTTTTGATTGCCAGTTGATAAGAAGCAACGCGGCAAACAGATTTTCAATCTGAATGTAAAAAGAACAGTTCTTTCAATACTAATATATTTACTGAGGACCGCAAAACTACCCAAATCTGTGTAGTAATCGTGAATCTTACACATAAACTTTTCGTAAACCTTGAAACCAAGTAGTTTACTTAGTCCATTTGAATTTCTATTATTATTATTAGTATATTAGTAATCACTTCTAGGAGAAAAAAAACTCTAGGAGGAGATGGGTTCTATAGCATCTCATGTACAATTGAGTTTGTTCACACTTAATTTGGTTGAGACCTTTTGTTAACTTATTTAACAGACAGTCATTCGTACAATAACAACCCATCTATACTATTGTACCTTTGTCGTTGTCGCACTTGTATGAATATGTATGCCTGATCATTGCTTACTGCCTATGCATATATTCATTCTGCTAGCCTTACTATTAGTCGCTTAATTGATTCGATGATTCATTCATTTCGCTGACTCGCACACTCGTTCATTGACTCGACCAATCTCTCACTCGCTCATTCGACTTGCTTGCATTTCGGCACTACTCTTTCGTGCTCACTTAATGTGCCTGTAGTTTGGGATATATGTGCGTGGTTCAATAATAAGCGTAATCAACACTTCGTATTCGCCTTCTGATTTACATATCGTCGGAGCGTTATCTAGTAACGATTATCAGGCGAACAATATGCGAAGTTTTAGGATAATATCGAATACCGACCGCCACAGTTCTCACCAATAGCGTAGCCAAGTGTTATCTGCAAAACAATAGTCATATTTGTAATGCATATACTTTGAAATCAAGTTATTAAACACAAAGGCTTGTGAAACAGCCTATACCTAAGATAAACTATCTCTGTTGTGTTTAGTAAAGGCTAGCGAATGCGTGAGTTCAATTGTGACTGGAGGGTGTTGAGAGCAGAGAAAAGAAAACTAATCTGAAACTGACCTATTACCTGATTAGTAGGTTGGCAAGATAGGAAAGATAAGAATTGGACAGAAGGTTAAATGTCTGACTAGCAAAACAGCAACGCACAAAGAATAGGAAAAACACAGCTGCGTCTAATCTAGGGCATTAGAGTAGAAAGATGGAGTGCAAAGGCTACGTCAGAATTTCAGTAATTTAGGAATGAATATTATTACATTGATATATACGTTACACGAAAGCTTATAACATAAAATAAAACAGGGAAAAAACTAAATGTTAGTACTTTGGAGATTTTGAATTAAGTGAAGCGATGTCCTAGGAAGTAGCTTCTGTTGCTCATCATCGCTTCTCTATTTCTCCTCACACCAATACGTTTTTCGAACAAATTTAAGTAAACACTCTTAACGCAATAGGAAAATTAGCTACTAAGTATCAGTAATGATCCGGAGTCTGCTAATAAACTGAAACGTGTAAACGAATACAAGCTGAGAGATAAGTTTAGGGAATTCATTATTTGTAGCAACACTATGAGTAAAGATATGCATGGTGCAGATGAATAGGTGAAGATTGGCAAGGCAAGGACCGCATTCCTTTAATTGAAGAACATATGGGACTCAAAAACAACTGTCAAGCAATATCAAAGTGAGAGTCTTGAATTCGAACGTCAGGACAGTCCTACTGTACGGAGCTGAAACGTGGAGGACTACTACAACTATCGTCAAAAAGGTACATGTATTTATAAACAGTTGTCTTCTCAAAATACTTAACATTCACTGGCCGGATACTATTAGCAACAGCCTTCTGTCGGAGAGGACAAACCAGCTTCCAGCTGAAGAGGAAACTAGGAAAAGGCGTTGGAAGTGGATAGGACATACATAGAGGGAATCACCAAATTGCATCACAAGGCAAGCCCTAACTTGAAATCCAGAAGGAAAGCGGAAAAGAGGAAAGCCAAAGAACACATTACGCCAGGAAATAGAAGCAGATATGAAAAGGATGAATAACAACTGGAAAGGATTGCTCAGGACAGGGTTGGATGGAGAATGCTGGTGGGCGGCCTATGCTCTTCCACGAATGGTAAATAAGTCCAAAGGCCTTGAAAAGTTCTTCAGTTTTCTCATTTATCCACTCACGTAAAATTATTTTTCAATACAGAGATATCCTCTAAGTTATTCATCCACACTAACCCACCTAGTTGGTAGAAATTACTTTAGTTTATGTAGTGAGAAATAATCCTACTAATTGCAGTACCTGGTTTTCTTAACAAGCAGATTATTTTAACCCTGTCATTATTGAATAAAAGAATATCTGTTGTCAAGGAAATCTATAATATACATGAAACATTCAAGAGATATAGTCAAAATTTTCAGGTATTTCAAATTGGCGACAAAATGTAGCTTCATCAAGAGAAAATTTGTTATTTAACCACGACTTGATCATAAATATATTATCTGAAGATAAAATAGTAAATAAATAACGTTAACTTATGTTGAAATTGAATGCTTGGTCAGTAACAAGCAACACAATAAAATGGATTTCGTGGTTTGTCGCCTTTTTTCTACAAACATAACTATTGTTAAAGCAAACCCAGTGCTTTATTCTAAACTGCATTTATTTACAGCATTAACGAGCGCGAGCAATGTTATTTCTAACTTCTATGGGAACTGTTTAAGATGCTTTGTGAGGAAAATCCAAGATCATTGGCTTATGATTTAGACAGCCGAATAACAAATTTCGGGAATGATTTCAAGTTCTTCTCTGATAGTAATTCTAACTCTACCAGAAAAAAACTGATGGTCCGGGTCCTGTTGGCAGGTGCAGACCATCTAGCTGGCATCCACACGATAACAGTGGGTAGAAACGCTGGGATTAGCAGTCACAGTGGTGTATATGGGTTCTCCGTTCATCTTCCGTTAACTCTTGAGCTTCAAAGCTAATTCATACTTGCAACTCCTTAGACTCATCTCTTCCATTTGAAAGATTTTTTAATGTTTAATTTTTCAAACTAATATTGATGCTATTCATGTTAATTTTACTTTGTAGAGCTAACATGGCTCAACGCAGGATTGTCCCACATTATACTGATCACAACTGACTGACTAGCAGCTACAGTGAAATTCACACGAATAAATTGATGTCCGGCGTGTTGTACCTATTTATTTCCCGTTTCCTTTATGAGATCACTTTAATTAAAGCTATATATATATATATATATATATATATATATATATATATATATATATATATATATATATATCTTACCCGTCCAGCGATTGACAGAGTCAACAGCCACCACTTCTTGTTGCTTTAGCTCCAACAGGCGATCAGGATCGTATTTTTTTAAATTCTGAAGCTCAACACTAAGAGATTCAAGCAACAACTTTTGTTCAGTTAGCTCGTTTATAACTCTGTTTCGCTCCTCCTATACTGAGTTCAAAGATTCATTAATATGAATATTTACTGTATCTTTCCTTTTTAACAAAGCTTCATCCAAAGCTCTCGTTATCTTAGAAATTTGGTAGCGTGTGTTCTGAATATCTTCTGTTACTTTTTCTATGTTGTTTTTAAGCTAAATTCAAACAAGTTTGCTACCTTACTTATATGTGACTTACTTTTTGTGCAGCTTTACTGGGAAACGCCCAAAAGTAAACACTAGTCCCTATTTTGTCAGTATCGACCAAACCGTCATGAACAAGGCTCATCAATACATCCTTTACAGACATAGAGTTGATGCCTCTTTCTTTCTGGCATAACCTTTCCAATTCCTTAAGTTGAAAAAAGTCCTTCTAAATTAAATAGTATGTCGAAAAGAAAAGTCACCTACTTTCTCATAGAAAAAATTCAACATTCTTTGCCGCTTTTCATCGAGACTCAGACCTTTTTTCTTTGACTGAATTTAGTAATTTTGACACCGGAAAGACATTAAAAATGTACGAAAATATGAGCTCAATCTCATACTAAAGATTAATAAGGTTATTTAAAAACCGGAAAGTTCAATATTTCTACTGCATTATTGCTAATCTTAAATTCACTCTACTGGAAGTGATCATAGTTTTTGACGTTATCGCTATCTGCCACAAAATAAACTATAAAATTAGCCAGTCAAACTCAGTGGGAAACTCAATTCAATCTGCCACTTTACATGATCCAAGAGATATGAAATTGTCAGGACGAATCCCAAATAAGTAAGAATAGTAACAGTATAATTGGTATCAGAAAAGTTTAAACATAGAATATATAATCAGAAAGAATAGGAATTAGTGCAATCATAAAGAGATTTTAAATCTATTGACTTAGGATTTAAGGGGAGACAAAGAGAAAATATACATGTGCCACTGGGAACCATTTTCACCCATGTTACGCGAAGTCTCTAACCACTACTTAGGATAATTGCGCGAGCCCCAACCAGGCAGTTTGTATCTGCCTAAATAACTACGTCCAACAGTCAGACCGATGAGTTATAAAAACCCATTACACTGAAGGTAACAGAGTATTCCCAAGTTGTGCCTGGTACGGCCGAGAGTCCGCTCTCCCTCACGAAATGCCCTCACATGGCCATGCGTATATAGCCTCTGTCAGGGAAGTCCTACTCACTGCCTTCTCGTGGCCCCGGTGTTGTTCACAAAAGTAAGAGGACGAAAAGCGAATGTCCGGCGCTTTAACGCGGTTGGTGGATGTGGAGGATCCACCTAGGGGAGTTGGAAAACCCTGATTCCAAACCAATGGTGCACATGGGCTCCAGTATCCTGAAGGAACAAATGGCGTATGAATCAATCGTTGGTCACCGGCTAGCATAGGACTGTATCTCCTCACGATGCCCCACTGCCTTGTGGATCAGAACTCTAGGTCAAAGGCTCCGGGTGTGGCCTCCTAAAAAAAACCCACCTGCTTCAGTTTGAGCACTTGCGTAGTATCACAGCCCTCACACAAATCAAATGAGATTTGTGCGGCGCATGTATATTTGGTGCTTTCTTGTACCAATATTTATGTGTTTAAATAAATAAAAATAAATAATTTTCCAGTTGTGCCAATAAAAAATCTCACTTTGTATTTAACCTAATCAGAAATCTAGGCGCGTTTGATGACCCGTGTGAACTGTGAATTGACAATTTGTGTCCAAGAGACAGAGTGAGTACGGAGAACAGTGAAGTTATATGTACATATCACCTTATATATCAGGTAGTTTTTGAAAGGTTATTCTCAATTCACGGTTAACAACAAATATTGCTTCAAGTACTCCAGATACTTGAAAGCAAAAACATCTAGTTGTTTATCGACGATGCTACTTCAACAGTCATAAGCTAAAACTAACTTCTTTTGTAATAGACAAATGCTATAAAATACTTTCAGTTTTAGTTATTTAAGAAACTGATATAGCGTATATGACAGATAAGTGGAACGTTAACGTTCAACACACCATTATTTCATGATCAGTCACATTAAACACATGACTAACAAGTACCATCCCAAATCTACGAGACCAGGAAGTGTAAACCAATTCCTTTGAGCTGTTATGGTTCAGTTCCAGGTCTAATGTTGATAGTCTAGTCGTTAAGCTGCAATAGTTCTAGTCAATTCGATAGTCTTTTGGAGGCCGGTATGTCCTGACGATAAGTGGATGCGTTTGTCCCATGGCAGTGTGGTTGCTGAAATCAGTAGCTATAGCAGTTATCAACATAGGAATTCACAGAACTTAGCATGTAGGAGTTTCGAAACAGTTTAGTGTAATTAAATTAATTAATCAACTGACCAATAGGTCACCCACTTAAATAAGTGGTAAACAACCCTATCTCCAGATTTTGGGGTAATTTCGGGCTTTCCCCAAAGTCATACGAAAATCTGTAGTTTTCTCCCAAAGTTTGGGGAAATTTTGGATTGTTTGTGTCATTCCCCAAAAACTTCCGATTTTGGCTTTCCTAAAATGGACAAAATTTTCTACAAAACAGGGATGTTGGGAAGTGAACATATAAATATTTATGGATCAATGATATTAAACTTGATAGTACTGAGAAATACTTGACTCAATTAAAAAATAAAGATGACTTATGACAGTGAAAATCACTGTGATACTATATAGTACTTAGTGAAAGCATCCCCTACCATGTTATTCAAAGAACAAAATTTTGAAGTATAGTCATTTCAAGGTCAATTACGGGTTGTCGCACACTAAATGATGAAGTTGTAACCAGAAAGGTTGCTTGTTAAATTCGAAAGTGAATGGTAGGGGAGTGAAGCGTTTAAAAAATCTAATACTCTCGGATTTACTGGCCTATTTATTTATCTGTTTTTTATTCCCGTTGTACCACAAATCACCAGCTACCAAATAATAATGTAAAAGTCTGTGCTAGTGTGCTATATGTTATCTAAGTGGAGTGGTGAAGCCAGCATAAAACTGGGCTCATGAGCTTAATTAGCAAGCGTACGAAAACAACCTCAAGATAGACGATTGGTTGACTCAGTCTTCAGTAATAAGGATAGTAGGTTGATGAACCTGTGTTAATCCTGACAGATTTCCTTCCAGTGAAGGTCCAGCTTCTTCTTGAAAATGTTCACTGATGGTGCTGATACCACTTGTTCTGGTAAAGCGTTCCAGTCATTGACCACTCGATGAGAAAAACGGAACCCCACCTTTAGTTTATTAGATCGCCGTTTCAGAACCTTCTTGCTATGACCCCGGATATTATTAGTGCTGGAGGGAGCAAAAAGATAAGACATATTAACACCCAGATCATAATTAAAGATACGAAATGCCAGTATAAGGTCGCCTCGTGTCCTACGATAAGATAAGGGGAAAAGATTTAGACGTTTTAAACGCTCATCGTAAGGGAGTTTGGAAAGACCCTCTACTAATTTTGTCCCTACACGCTGGACACGCTCAAGCGATTTAGTATCCTTTATCAGACAAGGGCTAGCTGCTTGGATACAGTATTCTAAGTGTGGCCTTACATAGGTGGGATATAAAATTCGAAACATATCCTCGTCAAAGCATTTAAATGCTCTGCGAAACGACCATAGCGCTCGATAGCCTTTGGAAGCAACCGCATCGCAGTGCGTAGTAGTTTTCAGGTCGTGACTTATAATTACTCCTAAGTCTTTGTGCTCTTGAACGCGTGGAAGAGATGTACCATTAATGGTATAGTGGTAACTAATATCGTGCCCGATGTGCATGAACACGCTCCTCCTGGAATTAACTTCCAGGCCCCAATCATGAGCTTACCCAACTAATTCGTCTAAATCTGCTTGTAGATAACAACGATCAGTCTCATTTCCTATTGTTCTCCAGATTTTAGCATCATCCGCAAACAATAACGTCGACGACTTAAGTAATAAAGGTAGTTCATTAATATACCGAAGGAAAAGTAAAGGGCCCAAGATGGTGCCTTGGGGTACACCGCTTTTGACCGGTTTGTATTCGGATAGCGTTCCATTGACCCTTACTCTCTGTCTGCGGTCACATAAGAAGCTTCCTATCCAATCATGTACAGCACCTGTTATTCCAAAGCTCGAGAGCTTTTGCATAAGACCTAAGTAAGAAAGCTTATCAAACGCTTTGCTAAAATCTATGAATATCACGTCGTTAGACAGGCTGTTGTCTAGGGCAGCTGTCCAATCCTCTCTCGCAATGTGTAAGTTATTCAAGCATGAATGTTTGTTACGAAACCCATGTTGCTCGGGAGTTAACAGATTGTACGAATCTATGTGGCTCAGTAGCTTAGCCCGAATTAATTTTTCAAGTAACTTAACTACAATTCTGGTCAGGCTAACAGGCCGGTAGTTAGATACGATCCGTCTCTGACCATCCTTAAATATAGGACTAACTATGGTGTCTTTCCAGTCTCTAGGTAGTTGAGCCTGTGAAAGGGACATGTTGAAGAGCATCGTGAGCGGTCTTGAGATAATGTCCGCAAGCGATGACAGCAAACGTGGGTGTAACCCAACGAGATCCGGTATCTTACAAGGTTTTAGGTTAGTTATCAAAGGAAGAACTATATCCTCTGTCACATGTAAAGGTCCTATGGCTGGTATCTCATTGTCAACGGGACAAGTAGTTGTAGCACTACACGTAGAGTAGACTTCACTGAAATAGTTAGCAAATGTCTCCGCTTTCGCTAGGTCAGATTCAGCCAATAAAGCTGAATTTTCGCTTAACAGTAATGAGGGGATACCATCACTACGTTTCGTCCGCCTTTTAACGTACGAAAACAGTCGCTTCGGACAGGTACGGCTATCGTATGCCAACTGTCGTTCGTAAGCCGTGCGGGATTTAGCTATGGTCTTTTTACATATATTCCGGATTTTTTTATATTCGCACTTAAATGATGCCTGACCTGTTGACAAGAATAAGTCCCAGAAGTGTTTCCTACGCTTCAACAGCTTCCGGGTTTCCTTATTAATCCATGGAGGGCAATATGATAACTTACGTGCTGACCATGGGATAAACGGTTGAGTTACGGATTCGAACGTAGACTTAAACCTATTCCATGCATTATCAATCCATCCATCAGCATCGACCGACCAGTCAATTGAGATAGCATAGTCCCTGATTGCCGGAATATTAGCTCTCCAGATATTAGGACGGGGTGGAGCTGCTGCAAATTCTATACCATGTATCCGGAACTTAAAGGAAAGTACGACATGGTCACTATTCACCAGTGGGGGAAGATGTTGAATGTCAACGATATCTTCACAGTGGTGTGTGAGGACAAGGTCTATCAATGACGGATTATGTTCCAAGTCTATATGCGTCGGCTTAACGATACATTGTACAAGTGCACATTGAATAATTGATGACAGAAGGACGCTATCAAAACCCCCACCTGGAGCTGTGAGCTCTATCCAGTTTATCACAGTGTCATGTGGGTCAAGTGAGTTACTCCCAACAACATTTGGTGAAGTTAGACTATTTCCATCCACAACAATATTAAATATTTCCTTACATTTGGACTTGAGCGGAGTTGCCTGATGCTCAGGACTCGTTCTGGACCACACAGGAAATTAAAAGCGAAATGTTCTGTCCTACAAATATAAGTGAAATAAAATTATCTCCCTCATTATCAATGCTTGCTGGTCAGTAAATCCATACTTCTACTTTTTTAATTTAAGCCGTTTTAACTTCATTTTTAGATAGAATATTGTACTACTCGGTGTTCTATGTTCCACATTATTTTGGAAAACATTATTTCTACATGTACCATGACACAAGAATATCAGACGGTCACAATTTATCTGGTTAGTCGTAAATGTAACACTGCAAATTATCTCAGTGTAGATCATGGGTTTATGGACACAGTATAAGCATTTGAGATAATATGATGGAAGACAAATGTTTACCGAGGTAGGTGAAAAAGTAAAGGAATTTAATAGCTGTAAATAAAACCACTGGTGATGAGGTTTTCACTACTAGTAAGTCAACAAAGTGTATGTAAAGGCTGTAAACCTATGAAAAATAGATAAGGAAGAACTCATAGTAAATTGGTGTTGAGGGTTATTTGTGTTATCTCAACTAGGTGATGGCGTACATGGCTACATAAAAGCAAGGTTACTGGTAGGTAGGCAAAAGATTATAAAGTTCATGCACTAGCTCAATCAGATAGTAGTGTGTGTTCCAAGCGGCCAATTACAAATGAGTAGCATCAACAGATCCAGTTGATTTTCTGTTTACTTCAAGTAAAATTTGATGACAGATATATAGTTATAGAGAACTATGTAGTACAACTTTAAATAAGAGCGAAAATTGAGACTCAGATTCCGATATCACTTATGTGTGCAGAAAGCCTATAATATCTAAGTGGTGAGCAGATATGTTCTCGTGTACAAAAAGGTCAGTGAAAGTAATGGGTATATCAGGGTGTCTTAAAAAGATACGTGATCCATCCATCTTGTATATTTACAAGGGTGAGCTTCTTCGTCTCAGTACGTACATGATGAAGTTTTCTTGAGTTTTGTATTGGTCAGATTTGACCGTAGATATTCTACCACGAATTTCGAATATATGCGAACCTAGGATAAGGACTTTATTATGAGAGGAATAATTGGGTTTATTCAGGAGTTTGAAGTCCAGGGATACAGTGTCAGGACGGATAACCAGTGGGTCAATAATTTTTAAACATTTACCGTATAAAATCTTGTCGGATTACTTTCACCCGAAGTATATAAGCTTAGAGTAATTTTGAAAATAGGAATATGAATGTTCTGTACTTATTCCTCATAATCAATCATGAACTGTCATAAATACACGTTCCCTACATGTGTTTCTCTTACTATCTAATTACTGTACTGAACTTATGAACATATATATTCTTTCAATGATACATACATTGATCTGACTAGTGATCGAAATCTACATTCCATCAGTATACTCACTTTTATTGTTTTTATACTTATCTTGGGCGATGTAATATAACAGGTACAACACATTTTGTATTATACTTTTAATATCACATTATTTGAACTTGTTATACATCGAGATAAGTTCAAGTAAAATATACCACACTAAACATCATTGAACAATAATTGGAGTCAGATGCGACTACAAACTCTTCCCAGTGCACTGAAGCAAAATTTTAGTTGAAACTGTTAAAAGCTTCATTTTAGCTCATTTAATTCAAATGAGCTATGCAGACAACATGGAGCAACCCTTCACAATATTATATCGTGCTAACAGCAGTCTGCCTACATCCGCCGGACTGTGAATACTGTAGACGAATGAAGTGGTCGCTATCCGGATCAAAATGCCATGGCTTTACGTCTAAAATAAATATGTTCAGCCTCTCCTTTTACCCTGACCGAATTCGGACTTAATTAGTTAATGATCAGTTTCATGATATGGTGACGTAATCTGATTAATGCCCATTTTTATACCTTAAACTTATCATGAGCACACATCATATAATTGTTATCAATTTTACTATCATTACTCCTGCTAACAATTCTCGGAAATTTTTTCAGCATCAACTCCTATCTATTCTATCTGACCGAATTCATATTATTCTACATAATACGTAATTTCTGATTTGTAGTTTCATTATTCTTTCTCACCCCATGTCAACTACATTTATTCTGATAATAATAATAATAATAATATATATATATATTTTTTCACT